GCGATTGGGTGCACGACAAGTTTGACGAGGATCGATGTACGTGGCTTTCCCGTGCTTTGTCGGGCCATCTCTAACAGTATTGCTCTTCAGCCCGCCCGTCCCGTGGAGGCCGCAGAGGCCGCGATGGACATGATTCCGATCGGTATGAAGTCTCTCATGAAATGAGCCTTGACTTAGTAGCTTGCCTGATCAGAGCGCTGATTAGATTATTAGCTCTAGCACACTGACCAAGGTTCGCGTGGATAATCTCCACTACGACATCACTGAATCGGATCTCGAGGTAAGTTTCACGCAGTCCATACTCACCCCTCACACGACCCCTAACAAGCCTCTTCGCTGAACAGGATCTCTTCGGCCGAATTGGACCTGTTTCTGAACTTACTGTCTCTTACGACCGCGCTGGACGCTCCGAGGGAGTTGCTTACATCACATACGCTCGCTTGAAGGATGCACACACCTCTATTCAGGAGTATGACGGAGCCAACGCCAAGGGCCAGCCCATCCGTCTTTCTCTCGTGCCTGGCCGCCGCGAACGTAACCCCCTTGATTCCGCACAGCGCCCTAGATCCAGCCTGATGGACCGCGTCGAGCGCCCCCGCGACGACCGCAGCATGAGCCCCGAGGATAAGGCAGATGGCAGACGCCGCCGTGGCGGTGGAGGCCGTGCTCATCGCAGCGACGTCACGAAGCCCGCTCCAGACAACATTGACCGTTACGTCCCCGGACAACGCTCCAACCAGCGCTCTCCTAACCGCCGTGGTGGGGGCAGACGTGGTGGACGCGACAACCGCTCCCAACAGACTGATGGATCCAACCGCCGATCCAATGCTCGTCCGCGCAAGACCCAGGAGGAGTTGGACCAGGAGATGGAAGATTACTGGGGTGGTGCGAACAATGGCGGTGGTGAAACGGCTGCACCCGCTGCGGGCGCCCCTCAGCAGACTGCTCCGGCTCCCAGCGCACCCGCTGCGGACGACGATATCGATATGATTGAGTAAATACTTCATGGTCACTCAAGCTTTGCGAAACTCGCTTGTCTTTCGCATTTCAGGTCTTCTTGGCCTCCGTGGCACATTGCTTTTGGTCTTTTCTATGAATTAAGATCACTTCGGCCTTTTTCTACTCTTCTCTCTTTTCATCGCTGAGGCTTTTCAGTCGAAGTGCTGAAACTCTGTACTTTACCTCAACCAACAAATTGTAACTCGGTTCATATCGCACATCCGACTTTTTACTACTTCGGTTCGGTTCCTCTTTGTCCTCGCTGGGCTCTTATCCTTGCCCTTACTCTCGCTGCATATTCACGCACCGGCGAAATGGGTACTCATCATAAAGTCTCTTGTTTTTTATTGCATTGTTCGGCGTCTTTTTTCATGTCTTTATATCGTCTGGTCGGAGGTAAAAAAACAGATGCGCATATGCCATCAAGCCTACATACAAAGAATGAGAGGCTGCTTACAATCAATAAATAGATGACGGCAAGATAGATGTAGGTAGAGCATAAACTCAATAAAAGCCACCACCACTTATAAATAGAACAAGGGCCACAAATGAAAATGGAAGATATGAGATTCCTCCTTGATTTCTTCTGTACACTGTAGCAATTATGAGTGTCAATTTCACCTCCACAACCCATAGGGCTCGCGGCATGCTTTCCACAACTTGATAGTACCGTCCTCGCTACCAGTCCCGTAGAGCTTGCCATCGGGTGAGAAGCTGATGGACCAAATCGGGCCATGGTGACCTTTTTGAACCTCTGCGGAAGCAAGTTAGCTCGACTTGAACGTCAAAAAAACACAAGACTGGAAGTAGAGAAAACATACCCAGCTCCTCGTCCGTGTTCAAGTCGTAAACTCTTGCCCAGGTATCATTCGCACTGCCCGTAACCAGACGACCAGACTCACTATTCACCGCAGCACTAGCAACATCATAGTCATAATCAACCTTTTTAAGCAAGCGACCAGGCTGCACGCCATCAAAGAGATAAACACTCTTCCCCGCAGCGACAGTCAAAATCCCCGCATCATTAGGTCTCGTCGCCAAACTATTCAGCTCACAAGAGCCAATCGTACCTTCAACACTATGTTCAACGATCGGGTGGCGCGACCGCAGATCCCACCAGCGGATCTTGCGATCCTCAGCTGCCGTCGTGACGACATTGTAGTCCTGGTTCCAGACGATAGACTTGATCGTGCCACCGTGCACGCCCGCGCCAATCTCGTAGCTCGCCACCCCGTTCTCAGTGGCTGGACTGGCTGAGGATGGGAGAGGCGGCGTTGACCCCGTGCTGGAATTGCCGCCCCGCGTTAGATCGAAGATTCGTAGCTTCTTCTCTGCGCCGCCTGTCGCGAGCACTTGGGGGTTCGCTTGGATTGGGAATGCTACTGCCCGTACAATGTGTGCATGCTGCAGTGTGTGCAGGCATTCACCTGTGTAGGTGTCCCAGACCTTGCTGTTTTCGGGTTTCAGATTAGTATATCATTGTGGGAGATGGTTTGGGGGGGTTGTTTACGCTGAGAAATCGGCTGCTGCCGTTGCTGAGATTGCGGCATCGGCAGAGAGCCTTGCTTGCCACACGGCACCTTTGTGACCGAGGAATGTTCCAATCCTAGAGTTTGATGTTAGTGGGCGGTTTTTGGGCTTAATTTCATTTGCCATACCAGTCTCCCGTGATGCCATCGCGGAGCATTGGATTATTATCTTTGGTTGGTTAGTGATTATACGGTCACTTTTGAGAATTATGGATCTTTCTTACCTTTGCATGAAGAGATGAAGTAATATTGCTCGTCTTCAACAGTGGAAGAGAAGCTCAGATGCGTCACCGGACGAGAATGTCCATGGCAAGTCAGAGGGACTACCTTGGGGATATCTGTTGAAGTCATATGAGTAAATATACCAAGATAGTAGTTTTCGGTTCCCATCTACACAGATCACTCACCGGTGTTCATTTTGTCGTTGTTGAAGGAAGTTCCCGAGGTTTCGGTGGTTTTGATGTTAGGTATTAGAGAACCAATCAGATCAGCGAAGTGCTATGTGCCCAACCGAGAGATCACGATTCGATATCAAGATATAAATCCAGGAACTAGACCGAGGGAAAGTTCAATATGTCTAAGGAAGGTACATAAGAGATTCGTCAGGGTCGTCAAGTCATCAAACAGAAATGTGGGGATCGAAGAAGAGCCGAGAACAAAGGATCGAAGCAAGTAGATTGAACAGGGATTTTCCCAACCAGACACCTCAAAAGGAGAGAAGGCCTCTGGAAATACGAAACTCCTTCGGTGCGTAGATGGGATATTGAATTTCAATTTCAAACAATAACGGGCAGCCCTGGAGCCGATCACTTATTAGGTAAGTCATGCGCTAGTCTGATTTGGGTATAGTTGGAGCACGTGAGGCTTATCACATGTGGTTATGTATATTGCAGCTACCGCTTGCGGCAAATTATTCTAAACAGACATTGATATACATCTGAAAAGAATATATATCTGAAAAGAGATATAATAACGTTACATATCCAGCAATATACATATAAAAAAAAGATCTCAAATCATATTGAAAACGATGTAGAAGAACATATTAGAAAAGACGCTAGAAAAGATATCAAATGTAACGTATCTAATATCATCTAGATATTCAGATTTTCCAGGTCCTACAGTTTCAAGAATGCTAGTATACACCAATTGGTCAACTGCATTCTTGCATGTACTTTGACGTATAGGACAATTAGTACTACTCTGTACTCCGTACACGTATGTGGTATGTAGGGTACTAGTCCTACCTAGGAAGCAGTTGATCACGTGGCTGATTGTGGTTGCCAAGGTCTCCACTCGGTCCCACTTTTCCCTTCCCTCCAACCACGCAATGATCATCAAGTATTTTGTCCAAAGTACATCATCGTACATTGTACCCGTCGACATCGCATTCCAAGTTGCTGTCATCATCATGGCCAACCCAACAGAGCCAACGATATGACTCAATCCAACCATATGGGGGAAATTATCCGCTGATTATTATAGCCAACCCCTTCAGTTGATGTCCCTGGAACTTATAAGCCAAAGAGCATCTTTATAATACCAAACTGACAGTTAAAGGCAGGCGAGATCTTCTTCGTAGGATTGCCTATAGGATCAGTCTTTCTCTCGCCCAATGCCCAATTAAATAGGATGGACTAAACCTTGGACGCTCTTTTCTATTTGAAACCCCTTTCCCCCTCCCAATTTTTAAAAAGGAAGGCGCGATATCTCCACCAGCGAGTATATAAACCCCCCCCCCTCTTCTCTCTCTCCCTTCTCTTTTATCCCTCACTCCCTATATTTGCAGAGGTATTCGGGAAGACACATGCTCTCTCTCTCTATATATTTATGAAAAATGCGATGCTGTGGGGAACGTATCAATCGACCGGAAGAGAAAAGACCAACAAACAATCCGATATGTTGATCTATATAGAGCCAGACAGTGACTTCGACTTCTCACTTATCCTTTGTAATTATTTTGTGATCAGGTTTGTGAATCTCAGAAGACTTGATATGGATTGATTTGTAATACTTGATCTCCTTAGGATGGTCGGCCCCTCTTGGTCTGGACCAATTGCTCTGATAGACCTCGAGAGCAGATACCTCCTTGCTACAGCGCAATCCCTTGGGCTGTGATACACCCCAAGCACGAGATAACTGTCTACTAGACTACGAATTCGCCAGGACTTTGTATGGCAAATAAATTTCTTTATGAAACCACCTGAATGTAACAGAAAGTCGATTTAAATCCCTTGGAACTGTACCTTGGCATTTGATAAGACCTCGGCGTGTTCTAGCAGGTTCCCCAAATGGCGTTACCGCCCACGTGATATAACCATTGATGCTTCGGCGGGGCGATCCCCCGGAACGACTAAAGGACAACAACATCCAGGGGAGCTTGATTGATCATTGATTTTGCGGTGATACCCTTAAATTACTTCTTCTTCGGATTCTTCTATCTTCACTCTTTCTTCCTTCAAAGTTTTATGTATGCCTGACTTCAAGCTCTCCGCAACTTTGGAGGGCCATGGCGATGATGTAAGGCTCCTGGTCCCGGCGTCTATACAGACGCCATTGACTACGCATCCAAACCACGCAGACTACTCACACTATTTTGACTTCCGATCTAGGTTCGCGCCGTGGTCTTCCCGAATCCAAATGTCGTCCTTTCCGCCTCTCGTGATGCAACGGTTCGGCTCTGGAAGCTTGTCTCCACCCCACCTCCCGCATATGACTATACCATCGCTGCACATGGCGGTGCCTTCATCAATAGTTTAGCCTACATCCCTCCCACATCCGAGTTTCCAGAGGGCCTTGTCCTTTCGGCTGGACAAGACGCAATAATCGAAGCTAGACAGCCTGGTAAAGGTGCAGAGGATAATGCGGACGCTATGCTTTTAGGTCATGGGCACAATGTTTGCGCTCTAGATGTCTCTCCGGATAGTAAATGGGTTGTCAGTGGTAGCTGGGATTCCACCGCTCGCCTATGGAGAGTTGGGAAGTGGGAGTGTGATGTTGTACTGGAGGGACATGAGGCAAGCGTCTGGGCCGTGCTGGCCTATGACGAGAACACAATCATCACGGGTATGCTAGCTTCATGTGGTCCTAATAATTCCTATATGCTAATATTACCGCAGGCTGTGCTGACAAAATGATTCGGATGTTCAATACCTCGGGAACCCTACTCGGAAGTGTACAGAACTCAAACGACGTCGTCCGCGCCTTGTGCAAGCTTCCTGCTTCGAACTCTACAGGAGCCAACTTTGCCTCAGCTAGCAATGACGGAATTATTCGTCTTTACACACTGCAAGGCCAACTCGTTGCCTCTCTCCATGGCCATGAAAGTTTCATCTATTCCCTTGCTACGCTCCCATCTGGCGAGCTGGTGAGCTCTAGTGAAGATCGTACCGTAAAGATTTGGAACGGGACCCAATGTGTGCAGACAATCACCCATCCCGCAATCTCAGTATGGAGTGTCGCAGCTTGCAGTGAGACCGGTGATATCGTCACCGGTGCTAGTGACCGCATTACTCGTGTTTTCAGCAGAAGCCCTGGTCGTCATGCAGCCCCGGAGGCCATACAGCAGTTTGATCAGGCCGTCAAGGAGTCAGCTATTCCAGAGCAGCAAGTTGGTAAGATTAATAAAGAGGAGCTACCTGGTCCGGAATTTCTCAAACAAAAGTCCGGAACCAAGGAAGGTCAGGTTCAGATGATCCGAGAGCCTGGTGGTACCGTGAGTGCCCACACCTGGTCATCGGCAACACAGGAATGGATTGCTATCGGTATGGTAGTGGACTCGGCTGGAAGCAGTGGTCGGAAGACCGAATACCATGGTCAGGATTACGATTACGTCTTCGATGTTGACATAGAGGATGGCAAGCCCCCACTGAAACTACCATACAACGCCTCGCAGAATCCATATGAGGCTGCCACTAAGTTTATTGGAGATAATGAACTCCCTATGACCTATCTGGACCAGGTTGCCAACTTTATCACTCAGAATACTCAAGGTGCCATAATTGGACAGTCTCAGGAACCCGAAGGTGCTGATCCTTGGGGCTCAGACCGACGTTACCGTCCTGGAGATGCCGCGGCGCCTGAAGATTCTCAACCACCACCTGTTCCCGAGCCACGCCCCAAGGTGCTCCCTCAGAAGATCTATCTCTCCATCCGCTCAGCAAACCTGAAAGTTATCACGAAGAAGCTCCAGGAATTGAATGCGAAACTTGTGTCTGATGGAGCAAAGGACGTGGCTTTGAGCCCTTCAGAAGTGGAAACGGTTGTCGCCTTGTGTGGTCAGCTCGAATCCTCCCAGCAGCTTCAAGTTTCCCCCGTGGTTGAGTCCGGAGTGCCATTGATTCTGAAGATTGTCACAACCTGGCCTGCCGCCAACCGACTCCCTGGCCTAGATATCCTCCGTCTACTAGCGGCCGCTGTGCCATTTACAGCATCTGCCGAGTACAAAGATGAAAATGTCCTCTCGAGTGTGATATCCAGTGGTGTTTTTGAATCTCCTCTTAACGTCAACAATGCGATGCTCGCAATGCGAACATTTGCTAACCTATTCGAGACGGCCGCCGGCCGCGACCTGGCCATGAGCTCATTTGATCAGATCCTGGCAGGAGTGAAATCTGCCTTGGCTAGCAGCGGAGAGTCACCAAACCGCAACCTTACAATCGCCATCACGACACTGTACATCAACTTCGCGGTTTATCTTACCTCCGAGAGTAGGAACCAATCTCCAGAATCCGCAGAATGGGGTCTGGTCCTCCTGGATGAACTAACTCGGATCATCGCTGGGGAGAAGGACTCGGAGGCGGTTTACCGAGCACTAGTTGCGCTCGGCACACTAGTGACAGCGCTTGGGGAGGAGGTCAAGAGTGCTGCTAAGGAGGTCTACGAGATTAACGGTGTTCTCGCGAGAGCCTCTGCCTCTGGTCCTGGGAAGGAGCCTCGCATCAAGGGCATTATTAGCGAGATCAAGGAGGCTCTCTGAGGCTAGACACTATTCTTTTATTCGGTATGCATAGATCAGAGATGCATTACTTTCTAACGACGACAACGCGATTCCCATACAAAGACTATCAATTGTTACCTTCTCTCCCACCCCGTACGAAATAAATCGTAAATATTCTCTGATCCATTAGTCAAGTAGCATTCTAAACCATCCATCTACTTGCTCCCTTACAATTTTCCCTCCGCATCAACCCCAATCTCCAGAACTTGATCAACGCCCTGATATTTGGGCAAATCAAGCCCATACTTATCAGCAATGCCCTTCGTCAAAAACCTACCACCGATAAAATGTCTTCCCCGATAGAACGCCACACACGGCTTAGGCGCAGTTAGACTAATCAGTGCATGCGGCATGAATCTCGCACCGTGACCTTCCTTCGGTGGTCCGCTCTGGATATCCCACGAGCTAGGCGCATCGACACTCAGCACCTGGACGTTGGAGGATTCGATTTGCGAGACGATTTCGCCAAAGGGATCGCGCAATGGACCGCCAAAGGAGAAGCCGAAGATGGCGTCAACGAGGAAGTCTGTTGTCTTTAGGGTTGATTGGAAGTCGTCTATGAAGGGGACAGAGAGGTTTTGGAGCTGGGTTTTGAGACGCTGGATGGGGTTAGATTTCCACTCTTTGCTTCTTGCTTTTAGGGTTCTTCTGGCACTTGGAGTTGCGTACTTGGTAGAGTTCGTTTTTTCCCTGCTTTGGGTAGTACACCGATGGTGTGTAGCCGAAGTGAGCTAGGTGTCGAGCGGCTACGAGGCCATCTCCTCCTGAGGATTTATTAGTTTATTGTTGCCCGGAATTGTAAGATTCGAGTTGATTCTCACCATTATTGCCTGGTCCACAGACAACCAGGATATTCTTGCCTGCGCTTAGCGGATGAACTTTCCAAACTGATCGCTCATTGGATCAGTATAGCCAGAGTGCATGTTCCAAGGTCAATGGAGCTTACCGGCTTGCGCGACGGAAAGGCCCGCTAGTTCCATCAACTGGTCTAGAGACCAGCCACCGGTCTCCATAAGGTCTTTATCAAGCGATGCGGCATCTTTGGCCGAGATTGCCTAGGATGGTTGTCAGTTTATATATTACTAAAGCTAATATCAGAGAACTATACCTTCAACGACATTATTGCTGGCTTACTGTAGCGACGAATGGAGTGGGATAGACCAAGACGGGTAAATGCAGAACGGATCATATAAGTAGGTTAATGCGAGAGCTAGTCTTTTGGCTAATTGAGTAAATGGACAGCAACTGTGCAAATCAAAGTGACAGCCAGCTCCGGAAGTAGATCTACTGTCCTCACACCATTACATCATATATGCGCTAGTCCATATTTAGATATACTGGATCAATAGTTCTTCCGCACCTAGAACTTTTGCGGAGGGCAGATGGATCATCAGAAGGACAGTATTACGCTCTCTCCAATTGAAAAAGCATTACACATCCGTCAAAATGGTTCTCCGAATTCGACTCGCGCGCTTTGGCAACAAGCACAACCCCTTTTTCAACATCGTCGTTGCGCAAGCCCGGTATGTGGTTTTTCCCTCTGAATGGATACACCCGATCTGCCCGGCCTCCATCGCCAAACACCAATATTGCCAGGCTAGGCAGTGTTTCAGTTCATTTTGCACTATATATTCAAGAAGAATTGAAATTGACCCTATTATCTTCAGTTCCGCCCGTGGCGCTAAGCCTCTCGAGGTCATCGGCACCTACAACCCCATCCCGAAACGTCCCACGAACTTGTACGATGAGAATGCCGAAGCCCGCCCATATAAGGAGATTGCCCTCGACCGATCACGCGCAAAGTACTGGCTCGGTGTTGGTGCGCAGCCTAGTGATCCCGTCTGGAAGCTCATGAGCATGGTAAGCCGGACCCTTTTTTTCTGTGTTCGTGAGAGTTTGGGGAATCAGAGGATCCAAAGGAGATGGATGGCTATTGTCGGGTCTGCGTTTTCAGTAGATCATCCATGTGGAAGGGGATTACGTTGTTATACAGCTTTTGCTAACTCCTGAACTTTTCTCTAGGCTGGCCTTGTTGCGCCCAAACCTACTACTTTTGACAAAGCTTGATTTTCTGTTTGTCTGCCCAGGTGACTACTTGACTCAAACGAGTGTGGCTTTGGTATGCTTGACCTCTACATGGCTTTCCAAGGTTCTCCTCTCCGACATTCTTTGTGTATTCGGCCGGACAACATCCGAGAACCTTGGAAAGGTCAAGGCATGGCACCATCAATGACGGGTTGAATGTCGCGCTGTGTTTCTTTTTTTTTTCCCTATTGATTTTGCTGGCATTTTTGGCGTTATTGAGTTGCCTTGTGGGAACTTCTGTATATTATGTGGCAGCCTGACTCTGACTCTATGCGGTAGATGAACCGCGATACTTGAATTTGTATGAAAAACACCTGCCTAGGCACATATTCCGTAGCGAGCTATGTGTTACAAACGTACTCCATAAAGTCATAGGCCTATTAAATATATAGTCATGAGGTATATGCCACTACAAAGTAAACTACAGTAATGCGTCAAATGTTATTGGAAACTTAACAAACTTCAAAAGTCAAAACATTTGACGCGCCTATGACCAGTTCAGGCACACTTTCTGAAGAAGTAGTGCTAATAAAGCCCCCTAAGTAGTAGCTTCTCTCCACGGCCCAACCATATCGACCATCGCCCCCTCGATAAGCCCAAGTCATTTCCCCGTAACAGCCAATCCCATGTGTTGCTGGGGTTGGGCCTATGGCAATTGGTCGCCATGGAAGATCGCCGGTTTTTGAGTTTTGGGATTTCGTATGTGTGATGACCTTGTAAGTTATAAAGCAAAAAGTACGCACTATATATATATATATATAAATATAGGCATAGAACTTGGAAAAATCCCATGAAGTATATGAGTATATCAAGATATCAAGCCGTTTTGACTCTTACGATCTGGGCTGATTTAACGGTAGTAAATGTAGTCAAAGTTCCAATAAAGTGACAACCTAAAGGTATTATATATAACCCATTTTAATAGGGATTACCTCTAGGGCTATTCGAGTCCATAGAAAAACATCCCTGTGTATATGTTTCACTTCATAGAGCCCCAATCTCGTGCAGAGCCGGGGGGTACGGCAAGCCGCATAGACACACTTGCATGGCCGGTGCTTTTCTGGAAGAGACACATTCATGATCCACCCCGTCGATCTCTATGTACTTCCGTTATACAAAAGGAGAAAAAAGGAAAAGAAAGGGAAAGAAAAAAAAGTCCCGGGGACATTCCACATTCACCTCGGGGCACGCACTGGGTAACTCTCTGCATGCGGTCAGTTTCCCAGGCCACGGTGTAAGACTATTGTAAACCTGTGTAAAATTGTAACCATGTATTGTCATATACTTTTGGAGTACATCCATTAATAGGAGGATCTACATACAACCCCATGTACACCCACTGTCACGTACCGGTTCTCCATTGAGTCGCGTCGTGAAGGGCAAATCCATGGATCTGGCACTTTGTGGACTGGCACTCGACCGTTCCGGACTCTTTTCTTCCTCCCCCTCTCTCCCCTGCTCTCCTTCTCTCCCCTCCTTTCGAACCCTTTTTTCCCTTCCCTTTTGCATACCATTCTTGTTTCCATCTTTATCTCAATCGTTTTCAAAGCGCCTATAGTCCAACCGTCGCAAATCCGATGAGACATCCAAGTGAACTCGACTTTCGACCGAATCGCTGATCGCCATCGCCTTCGTCTTCCTTCATTTCTATCGTTGCATCGCGTTTGGTGTACGATCTCCTGTCGCATTACCAATCAGTGCGCCGAACTTCGACTTTTCAAATCCCGCGACTCCTTTTTTTCGTACCTGGACTATCATCCCCTGTGTGATCGCGAACCTATCCGAAAGGCGAGGAAAAAAAATTCAAAAAAAAATTCAAATTTCGTGGAGGGATGAGCGGCAGCTCTAGCCAGTCCACTCGTACGAGTCCCGGCTCTTTTGGAACTACACAGCTCACAGAGTCCGTGTCATCTGGTTCGCCCCCACAGCAGTCACTCCCTTCTTCGCAAGCGCCTTTGACGGCTCAGCATGCGATGTCGACCGACGTGTATAGTCCAAATGCGTCGCAAGCGCCTTCATCTATGAACCCTTCTTTCTCATACCCTTTCTCCCCTATCGGTACAACAGCTTCATTCGATAACAACATGCGCTTGGATAACGATCGCAACCTCCAGGGCCTGAATGGCCTGAATCGCGGAAATGGAGGCGCGATTCTCATGCGCAAACTGCCGCGAAATACGAGCCGCGAAGCCCTACGCAGTATGCTACTTTTCGCCAAAGACTTTGTGGACGCGGACTTTGTGACCTTGGACCTGCCGGAAGATGACGGGTTCTTGACCGCGATCGCGCGATTCATTACTTTACCAGCCGCCGAAGAGGCCAGGTCCCTTCTAGATGGCAAGCCGAACTCCAAAAACGACGCAAACATGGTCGTCGAGATGTACCTTGGCCCGATGGGAGCGAATTTGTCGAACACCCGCCGTAATACCATCGACCATACTGCGAGCCGTGCGCTAATGGGCGCCTCGAACGGCCCCCCTTGCGCGTCAATCGTCGCGCTTCAACGGCACTTTCCAAAGCCTAGAGAGGCTTTCTAACGTCAACCCGAACCAGCCTATCGGCGAAGGACTTCCTCCGACCTCTGAATCAGGCTCGCGTATGCACAGCCTTTTCTCCCCACAATCTCCGATCGGAAATGGCATCGATAACCTCCCACGCATAACCGGGAAGTCTATGATTGATGAAGACCCGGACGAGGAGACAGGCGAGCTTCTCAAGGATCCGGTGGGCTATGCAGAGAATGGCCATTCCACCAATGCCTCCGCCGGGCGCCGGGCTACCAACCCTCAAATCCCGACTAACCGTTTTGCCAATATGTCCCTGTCGACCAACATGTCATCACCACCTTTGCAGAACTACCCTGGGGGTGGCGCGCAACGCTTGGGCAGTGGAGCAGCCGCATCTGCATACCCGAACCAAGGTCATGGCTTCCCATACAATGCTCAGCACACACCACGCCACAGTCTTCCCGCTGCAAATCCGAATGACCTAAATCCTCCTTGCAACACTCTGTACGTGGGCAACTTGCCACCAGACACTTCGGAAGAAGAACTCAAGGCCCTTTTCTCCAAACAACGCGGGTACAAGCGACTCTGTTTCCGAAACAAGCAGAACGGACCCATGTGCTTTGTGGAGTTCGACGAGGTCGCTATGGCTAGCAAAGCGCTCAATGAGCTGTACGGCTACAAGCTGTCGAACAGTGTCAAGACTGGCATCCGTCTTAGCTTCTCAAAGAATCCCTTGGGTGTGCGTTCTGGTCAACCTGGCAGCATGAACTCATCCAACTCGGTCTCTGGACAGGGCGCAGTCCCTGGAGGCAGCAGCTTGAGTGGAATGCACAACAATATGTTCTCGGCTGTCAACGGCCCCCCTCCTGGACTGGCAGCACCTCCTGGACTTGGCATGTCCATGCCTGCGCCACCGATGCGCAATGGTACATCCATGCACACCCCCATCAATCCGCATGCTGGACTAATGGGAAATTCCTCATACAACCCCAACTCGGGCCTGGGAATCCGAAACGGAGCCAATTCAATGATGATGTCGCCGCCGCCCCCTTCTAATTCTGGCGGCAACAACAACAACACGGCACCAAACCTGAACGGCTATAATTCCTTTTACCCTGACTACATGATGGGTCGCTAAGCCCATCCAAGCGTTATATCAAGATAATGCCCGGCATGTTTGAACGAACTGGGATATCTGGCGCATTTGGGGATCTTCGTTTCGTGAGCTAGATCAGCATTCGGCGGCTGCATAACTCTCGGGAGTACTGTTTCGGATTTGCTTTTCTGTTTTTCCCCCCCTGATCTTTTTTTCTGCCAGTCCTTTTCTTGGCTTTTCGTCTTTCTGTTGCATGGGAACCTGGGCGCTCTTACATTCCTTTTTTTTTGTTATCTCTTGTCATTGGGAGGATTGCATTTCAGGTCATTGCCAAACTTGTATTCTTATCTGGTCGGTGCGAGGCGCTCGAGAGCGTATTTGTTTCTGTCGGCCATTGCGTTTCGTTCACACCTTCATACCCTCGTGATTTCTTGCTTTTCTTCTTGTTTATCTCGCTCGTTTATCCTAACTCAATAGGCAATGCATACCACACTGTATGCGTGTTTGCTGCCTGTAACCAGGATCTATACGAGCTGTTATCTACTTTATTCGACGTGATTCCCCCCCTGTTTTGTTACATCTATCCCCTGGATCTTTCTCGATGCATCGTCTGCGTGGATCGGAAAGGATTTTGCTGATTTACTTGCTTTCTCTATTGCAATGCGTGTTTATTTCTATGCAAGTACGAAAAGGAAGGGTCCTATGTCGCTTTCTTTAGCTTCTCTTCTAATATCTCTCTACTCAAATGGCATGAGCTACGGAAGGACATGACATCGGCCTACGTTGACCACATATTGTCCCAGGCGTTCGCGTTGGTTTCAAAGGTTTCTCTCCTGCCACATTACTTTCATCTCGGCGGAGACGAAGGCGTCCAGCCCATGCATTTTGCTCGAAAGCTCTTCTCCCATCTTGCTTGCATTGCCACTCTTTTTGCTTTGAGTCTGGCTTATCCTGCTTTTCCAGGAGAAGAATGAGGAAACGAGGCGTGTTTATTATTATTTTTTTATTCTTCCTCTTACCCCATCTTGCTTTGGGGTATGATACCGATACATTTGCTTCGATCTGTACTTGATACAATGAACTGGTTCCAGTTATCCTGGAGAATGAACCCATTTAATTTATTTATAACCAATGTTAAAGGTCTATCTAGTAACGAGATATCGTGGGACCGTTTTTAACACCCTTTTGGGCCACTTTTCATATATTTTACAATATCTGTCAGATGTCTTCTGTAAGACTTCTACTGCAGGGGCATATATACATAAGAACTATTTAAAAGCTACTATTATACTATGAGAACTAATATACTTAGGGAATGCGAGGAAAATGTTTACTCGGTTGTATACAACGGGTGGATAGATGGTCACGTGATGACACTACCGAGAAGTTTCTTCCCCTGCAGACACCTACGCTTCCCGCTCCAACCCGACAATCTCTCTTCCTTCAATTATTGCTGCAAAAGGGTCAATGGCAGCTGGAACTCCTTGATTCTTGATATCCAGCGTCTTTCATTCAGCTTAGCACATTAAATTCCCCCTCCTATTCTTCCATCATATCCTCCCAAGATGCCACCCCGGATACAGAGCCGGAGTGTGTCCAACACTCTTCTTCCTTACCTCACAGCTAACTCCTCTTCCTCGTCCACACTTCCTTCCCTCCCTTCGTTATCCTCTACGTCATCACAATGCCTTTCTCGCCAATTCTCTGCCACGGCAGCACCACAGGGACAAACCAAGCTCCGTCGGCAGATGTTCGAATGGCTTAACAATGAAGGAGCCGGTTTCAAACATCACCTTCCCGGAGAGACCAACTATCTTACTCGCTTAAAACAACGAGGTCCCGAGGGTTCTGAGAAACCCCGTCCGTTCCCCAACAACCCGAGTTTCTTCAGTGAGCCCGTCCTCAGCGAGGAGCTACGGAATGAGGTCTACAACCGCGTCGTTGAACAGAAGAAGAGTGTCCGCATTGTCAGCGTGGAGCTTGGAATTGATATGAAGCGTATTGCTGCTGTCGTTAGGCTGGTGGAATTGGAGAAGAGACAGCGCGCACAGGTAAGAACATTTTCTTTCTACTTTCTGCTTTTTTTTCCCCTCCTTTTTTCCTTCTGGACCTGGCTTGCACCCTCCATGCATATGATGAGTCACAAAAAATCGATTAGTCTTGAAGACACCTACATGGTTAAATTTTACTTTTTGAACTGAACTGCATTCCCCTTAAATTTTGGATTCCTATCATGTTTTGTTTGGTCGTGTGACATGAACTGACGAATCTCAAATCAGGGTAAACCACTAGCACTGCCATATGCCCGGGCCATCCATGAGATGGTCCCCACCACACCCCTCGCCGAGCAAGGCGAGCGTCAAACATACCACGAACCCATCAATGACCTCCCCGCCCACCCCTTGACAGGCTCCCAAATCTTCTACCCAGTCCCTGAATCCCGCTCCTTCAATCGTGTCGAGGCCGGCCGTGTCTTCTCCGGCGCCCCAGCAATGGAGCACTCTGAGGCTGCGGCAATTTCCCACCCCTCCGACCTTGCCGAAAAGATTCTCGAGGACCCCAATTCCATCGGTTGGGTCGGCAAGGGGGCCAATGCCCGCCAAATCCTGCAGCCTGCAGACGTGCGCATTCCTCACCCTCACATGGTTGCCTTGGAGCGTGACCGCCTCGCACACCCCAACGAGCGTCTGGCTGTTGCAGACCTCCAATCTAAGAGACTCGAGCGCCAGGACGCAATTGAGCAGGCGCGTCGTGAGCGTGTCCAGGCTCGTCGTGAGAAGAAGCTGACAGTGGTCTCCCCCGAGGACTCGCGCTTCGACTACCGTATCAAGGATACCATCTACACTACGGAGACTACTGGTACTGATGGCCGTGGCTCGAAGGCTGTTGGTCGTCGCTACGGTGTGCCCCACCGTGACCGCACACGCGGTGAAGTCAAGATTCCCACCCGTGTGGAGGCTTGATTTATTTTGAGATAGTCCTCAGCAGGGCTTTTTCTTTCCCTTTTTTTTTGTTTTTCAGCAACTTTCGTGGCTACGGCCTTTGTAATTTTACTTGTATGCTACTCATCCATGGATGTATGAAGGAGGTTGATCACTTCAATGTTATGTACCTATATATCGGATAATATCCCTTTTCATTTCACATCTCGAGTAAATCTGAGCACGCTCGTGACTTCCAGAGTTTCTTGCCACAATCAATGAGCTCTCTGGGGCGATTCCCTTTTGGGTGCTCGATGGATGATCTGTTAAATGATCTATTGGATGATCTGGTCAACTTTAGAAACCCACCTCGGGACTCCTTACGAATGAGGAACTTTCTCCGATTTCTGTGGTGTAAACGAGAGGTCACAATCCTTCCCCAACAGAAGACACCTTCCGCATCTCCCTATATCAAAAATTCAAACCTTATCTTAACACAGAAGTGAGTTTCCTCGCTTATTTCGAGGTACTCTCTACCCCTCCAAGTTGCTACTGGGCGCGATGGTTGGCGCGATTTTCATTGCAATCTTTTCAGGCCTTTTTGTTGCTTGTGTAATGCTCGCATCGCCATTGGGCTTGATTAACTGGGGTCGCTCCGAGAAACAAGCAATTGCCAAGGCCGACCAAATGCCAGGTATCAAGAAAACGACCAGACTCGAGGAAGATGACCAAATCGACGGCATAGGACGTCATAAGATTGAGATCCAATGTTGCCTGCGTGACGAGACGAGCTGGTGAAGTTCGGTTAATCGCTGAGTCCTGTTACAGCGCATATGAGAAACCCTTGTCTTTGTACACGAATCTGAAGTTTTTGAAGATCGCTATCTTGTATTTACTGTCTTTTGTGGCTTGGAAGTATATAACAAGGGGAAGATGTGTATGTTAGATGTATATGGGGGGCTCTGTTTCTGAATATGTGTATCTAGTACTGGTGGCAAGCCATGAGACAGGTGCAGGAATGTGAGTTAGTAAAGATAAAAATAAGTACATACAAGAATTGTCGGCGCAGCCTTGTCATGTGCCCTTCTTAGTCCTATGACTAGAAAGTACAGACGAATTTTCTATGTGTAAGTAAAGGATTTGTCTAAATTTAAGCCTAAGAGCCCATACTTTATACGTATAGACTTACACGTATATACCACGATTGGATGTTGTTCAATTTTCTAACCCAATAGATACTTTGCCATCCCAACACCATATCACTCCCCAGCCCTGAAACCCCTTAAGAAATAGAAGAACCCCGAAAGTATATATGAACCCCGATATATCAAAATCACAATGCATAGCGCCTCGCCAAGAAAGAAAAAAAAAGCAAAGAGATATCATATGCCCCCAATAATCCCCTATTCTATTCAGCCTCCCTCCCATTCCCATTCCGTTTCAATGCAACCCATTCTCGAAGATTAACCAGATGACCACATATTCAACTCTCAACGAGCCTCTCCGACAGATCGACAGCGTCGCTTCTTTGTTCCAACCCATCCAGAGATCGCATCAGATTCAGACTCGTCTTCCATGGAGGAAGTTTGGAAGATAGACCCGATTGAGGCGAGGGTACTTTGGAACCATGAGGTAGTAGTAGGTGAGGCCGGAGCTGACCGTGGTGTGTTTGATGACTGCATGGTCGAGTTGAGGATCTGGGATGGCGAGGTGCGGGGTTGAATGAAGTCTTGTGGCTTGTGGCTTGTTTGGCAAGTGCAGATCATCGAGCTTCTGGGAAATGGTATATTGCAGATAATAATAGATTGTAGAATAGTATTGTAGAATGTAGGATAGTATTGAAAGATGTAGAGAATCGAGGGCAAGTTCATGGTATTTAAAGGATACTAGGCAACACGAACCGTCACATGCCAATTGTGGGAAATTCAGACAAAGCGATCTAGATCAGCTGCACAGGTACATATGCCCAATATTGACTTGGTATTGTTGGCTTTAATGAAAGCTTTCTCTGGTTGTACAGAGCTCTTTGGATGTAGCGATTTGCGGATCCTCGTACTTCGATGCTGTCTCTTGATTGGTGCTCTCATCACAATATTGTGTAGATTATTGTTTCGGTCTTAAATATAGGACTTGTGTATATGATCAATGCATTTGATTAAGAACTATTGGATAGGTTATTTACGCTGAAGAAAATAGTGTACTACATAACTTTTGGATATGAGAGAGTGAAGAAAATGTGTGCATAATTTATAGGCTGAAGACAGGTTATCTGAGACATCTTCTTTTATCTACTTCGGAGAAATAGATAGACTTCAATAGGGAGAGATAGAAGCTACACATCATATAACTTCAACCCCTTGGAAAGAGGTATCAAAAGAGCTAAGTACTTTGAATACCATAGCTAAATATATCTACAAGAATTGTCACGTTTCAAATAATTAGTGAGATAAGTACAAGGCAGGAGGATACACCACACCCCCCCGGCAGTCAAAATAAATAAACTAAAAAAAAACTATACATTGAAAGATAGGCATCGGGACATCTCGTTCGTGTATATGAGAATGTCCATTGCTGGAATTTGTATGCATGAATGTAAATACCGGATGTTGGACAAAAGAATCCAGCCAGAGAGGGAAAAAAAAAAATGTGCCCAGGCAGATGCGTATGCAGCCCAAAATAACAGAATATATTCATGCAGCCAAAACAGGATTCATGAGGAAAGCCATGTACTAGGCCTGAGGAACTCGAAGTGAGGTGCATGTTACCATCACAAAAAGTTGAAAGGATGAGAATGGAGAGAAAAGACGAGTTGCTATACGGGGTATTCAATGAGAGAGACAGAAAGTCGAATCAAACAAGTCGAAAAAAAGATTGTGGAAGTGCATAGGGACCGACCAACTAAGACACGGTAGCCCATCCAAAGACAAATCAGTTTTCATTCTTTATCCAGAGGCGCAGCCGTCGCATCAGTGGTTGTCGCGGCATCTCCCGATGTTCCCAAATGCGGACTCAATGGCGAATCTAGCGTGTCGGGACTACCGCTACCCCATGAATCTTCCCGCATGATTGGTGCGGCATCTGGCAGGTTTGACTTGGACTCGAGGTGATCAGATTTATTAGCGGTGCGAGAAGTCGAGGGTGATGGAGGATCCACTTTTGGTGGTTCTTTGCGGTAGCCACCTTGCATCGGGCTAGCTGATGTATCAACAACTGGCGAGGAGGAGCGAGGAGAGTCGATGAATCCGCGCCATTTGCGCCAGCCTTCAAAGTCAATCAGGGCCTGCATACAGCCCCATTCTGTCACTTTCTGTTCAAGCCAAGGGAATCCGACCGGCTATTCGAAAAATTGTTAGCATACTTTGAGAAGTAAAAAGAAACTCGCAATAGAGAGCTCGGCCTACCTTGGTCAAGAAATCGTTACAGCCAGCAGCCAATGCCTCATGTCGGTCACTTTGCAGACTGCTAGCTGTCAACGCGACGATAATGACCGGACTCCGGAACAACGAGAGATCTGATAAAGTATCCTCTTCACTGACCGTACGCTGAAGGCCGGGTCTTCTGTCCGCAGCAGATGTATTGGACGCGCTGAAACGTCCAGAGGCTGTTTTGGGGAAGACACCAATGCCATTTAAGCGCTCCAGGCGCCGGATCTCCTTGGTGGCTTCCAGACCGTTCATCACGGGAAGCTGGATGTCCATCAGAACCAAATGGAATCCACCTTGTCGCCATTTCCGGACTGCTTCTTCGCCATTCATTGCGCATTTCCAGCGCACTTTCAACCTCTTCATGAAGGCCTCTAGAAGCTTCTGGTTGATGATGTTATCTTCCACGATGAGGACATTGATTGGCGGAACGGTTCCGTCAATCAACCCGCCAAACATGGCACCAGGAGAAGTGGCCACTTTTGATTTTCGGACCACGCGTGGTGATGCAGTTGCTGGAGGAGTGTGTGATTTCGCCTGCGGGGATTCTACCGGTGGTGCTGCCGCCGGGGGTGTTGGCATTGCAGGAACGGCAGCCGGCATAGGTTGGGAATGAGGAGTAGCGCCAGTTTCTATGAATGTTAGTGGCCATATTGAACAAAACAAACTTGTCTGAGAATGTACCTATTATGCCAGGGGTCTGGTTATGGAGAATTGTGGGAGAATTTGTTTTGTGTCGTGTTAACGGAGGGCGTTGCTGATGTCGTGCCCTACGGCTTCCCGGAGATGGCAGCAAAGGAGCAACGCCAGTGTTGAGAATAGAAATTGACGGCGCACTAACCGCTGATGCAGCTCCCGAGTGTGCAGAAGGTGTGCCCGCGGTCGCATTGACCGGCGGCATGAGAGGGAAGTAATCACCATGCTCGCCCGGTTCCGAGTGGTGGTGCTGGTAGATCGAATGGCGCGGCGATGGCTTTGGTGTTCGGCGTGACGGGGCATCGATCACCAAGGCTTCCTCGATTTTTTGTCCGCCGGGGTAGTATGAATCGAGTATAGCTGATAGGACTTCTTCCGGGCTCAAGATGCGCTCGGGGTGACCTGATCGATTGGTAGTCTCCCGTGGTGAAATCCGGATAACGATATCGGGCGAGTCAAAGCTTCTCCCTAATGAATTTCCGTATTTCATGATGACCTGATCACGTAGCTCATCTACCACTGCATCCTCTCTGCACGGCACCAAGGTGGCCGAGCCACCTGGCCGTTTGACCCAGATCCGACGTGTGACCATCTCGCGAGGAACGAGGGGAGTGAATCCGCTGCTCTCTTCTGAAGAGAAGAGATTCGCCTCCAATAGGCCACTGATCAAGTGCTGGTGTGATGCAGGGAGAAGAGATTGACGACGGATCGCAAGGCTCGGGCGCTTGCTCGAGGGAGGAAAGTAGGAAGCAGAAGGCCCGCGATCATTCGTAGGCCACTCGATGACAGTATTTAGGGTCGGAGTTAATTGAGTCTCCGGGATTGGCGTTTGGACTTTCAATTGGGAGGACTGGAAGGAGGTGCTATCGGAATGCTGAGGAGTCGGCAACGGAGGGGTTTCAAGCGGAGAAGGAGGGTCGCCCGAGATAGGAGTCGGCAAGGAAGAATTGTATGGCTCAGTCGACGGCGTACAAGTGCGAGTCCCTGTGTAGTGAGGTTCCGAAGGCGCAGACACGGAGGAACCTAATTCCTGGTTCGTCCCTGGGGATAGGGGTTCTATCTGACGGTCGCGAGAAGATATCTCATCCAAATGGGTTGAAGATATGCTATACGGAGATTTGTTGGAGTCGAGAGGGCCCGAGGGTTTTGGGTGGGCACTCGGGTCCGCATCCGCTTTTGGAGATAATCGTCCAAGCAATTTTGCCTTCAGACGTGATATCCGTTCTGACATCGTGAGTCTTCATGCCATTCTGAGAGGAGAAAACAGATGGTTTCTGTTTTTCTCTTTTTTTTTTCTCTGTTGTTCTCTGCTGTTCTCCCAGATAAGGCCTATCTCGTACTTTCGAATATACCAACAATACAGCTTCAAAGCCAGAGGTCAAAGGGGTCAAAAGTCAAAGAAGTTGAGAGGGGAAAGGTGTGACACCTTTGGGCAGAGTCACGTTAGTTGCTGATCTCCCGACTAAAAAAAAAAGCTATGGCCTTTTTTAAGGCTAATATGATGGAACATGCAAGGGTTTAGGGGGCGCATAGATAGAACTTTGGAAAATATGTCCATTATTAAGTATCTAAATTGTTTGATCTTTTCTATTAGGCGAAAAGGAATATATATAGAGCTAAGATACCGTATAAGAGCATTAAGCTTGTATATAGCACTGTTATCTTCGCGGGACTTGACAAGAGTTAGGTACATAGAAGGCTACTTGATTCATATTCAACACAAAATAATCAAAGGATCCAAACCAGATAAACACGAGTCACATATAGCCACACAAAACTGCCTACGTGGCAACCCTGAGAGTACTAGTGTTTAACCAGAGGCAGGGCCAATTGTTCTTAGGGTCACTGGGATATTCTTAAGAGCTGCATCTGCCGTTGCACTCCATAGCAAGATGTACCATCCATCTTGTCCTGTCGGTTGGGCATAGAAGTTGACCTTGGCCTGGCTGCACACAACATATTTTCCATATAAAGTCCACACGTCGGTTTGTGGTGTCGACAGGCTGCTTGAATTATTACTTGCCTGGACGCTCGGGGTAAAAACGACTGGACAGGCCATTGAGCCAGTATCGCTCAATCCCAGCAGATTGGTAGTGTTGGAGGCAGGGGTGGTCGTGTTATCAAAGTGAGCAACCCAGGTCCTTTGATTGTCGCCAAACGTCACTATAACTAAATTAGACACCTCTTATGGGGACAGTGAATTCAGGGCCTACAAGAAAATGCGAACTTGTTGGTTGCATTTGATAGGGACATATCACCGATCTGAGCTTGGCCTATCCAGCAAATAGGATTAATGGTGATCCATTCAAAGGCAAGAGATGTTTACCATCTGCATAGAAGATGGGCAGCCCATCGATGTTGTGGCCATATGCATATAAACTCCACGAACCATCGTCCTGACGCTTCTCCATAGGATGTGCCGAGCTAATAACTGCAAAGATCGCAACGATCACAGCAAGGATACTTGAAGTCATGTTTTGAAACAGATGTAAACAAATTTCCAGTTTGATAGATATACTGCTCTGTATCAAGAGTTGGATCCGGGTGCTTTTGAAATCGTCTTTCATATATATACGTCCCGGAGGGGTATCCTCTTATTTCCCCGAAAGCATAGTAGGACGAACTCAGGATTGGCAGGGTAAGCTGAGCCGTATATGAAATCAGTGTCACAGAACCTCTGCCTTGGATATTTTAGGAATCCCTGCCCTTGTCATCCTGTGCTGCCTATCCTATATCGCAAAATCTCGCTCCTTAATTACAAACTCCCTTCTAAGGCTGACCTAGCTGAACAGACATTGCCCAGATGGCGTGCATGGTAGCACCATACAGTTTCACAGATTGAGTTACACCTACCTCCATGCCCGAGATTGGCTCGCCATTACACTTACCACCTTTTTTTAAGTGATACAGAACATCATGCCCACGTGGCAAAGTCCCAAATAACCCTTTTGTCACTCGACCTGAACGTTTTACAGCTAGGATGGGCTATCAGACACACGAGATCAGGGACCCTGCGTCGGGACCTGAAAAGAAAAAAAGATCTGATCACGATAATGCACGACCCACATGAATGTGGCAGTACATACCGGCGCAACACACAGGGGCTTAGATCAGATGGCTAGACACCATGAAAATCTTCTAACTTCACAATGATTGTCGATGAAACGAACTGTCTCGCTATTCGGCATGAATTGAGATTATACCCACTTGAACAATCTATTTGGGGCAGAGAATAAGTCTTGCCTCATGCTCAAATTGAGCTGGAGGGCCTTAGGCCCTTGTGGCTTGGTGCATCGTCTTCCCTATTCATACATGAATCATTGAGATGCTCACACTTGAGCAATATATTTGGAACCGACACGAAGTCTCGCCCCATGCTGAAACTGGGATGGAGGGCCTTAGTCCCTTGGTGGCTTGATGCATCGTCTTTTAGGCTATTGTTTCTACTTTCGTCTGTTGGAGATGACGGCATGCCAGTATCTTCTAGCAGTTTACGAGGTCGTTTACGAGGTAATGTACGAGACAATCTACGAGGCAGTCTGCGAGGTAATTTACAGGTTGCATTGCCTTTGGGTCAGAAGAGGGCGCTCGTAAAAGATCAGCTAGAGTCCCTAAGGGAAGTATATAAATTCCTTCGACGACTTGATGGAATAAGTGTTAACAATTCTTCTAGAGCAGAAATCAACAGTCACTTTTAAAAGCTTGATATCAAGCCATGATGAGATTTTCTTCCATCATCATTTTGGGCAATTTACTTGGTACTGGCATTGCCTATGGTCATTATTCCTACAAACCATCTACAACGCTGCGACCAATTGCCACAAGGTCTCGAGCTCATAGTATCTATGAGCCTAGCGGGACTCCATGCGCAGGAAATCTTCCCAGCGACAGATCTGTGTGGTGCAATTACAGTATCGACACAGACTACGAGAATGTCGCCCCAAACACAGGTGTTACGCGTGAATACTGGTTTGAAGTCAATGAAACCACTCTCTCTCCCGACGGATTCATGCCTCCACGTCTAGCCATGACCGTCAATGGCACCTTGCCTGGCCCAACTCTTGTTGCAGACTGGGGTGATTGGGTGATCGTCCATGTCACTAACCATCTGTACCAGTCAAGGAATGGCTCAAGCATTCACTGGCATGGCATTCGCCAGAACTACACAAATTCAAATGATGGTGTGCCCTCGGTCACCCAGTGTCCTATTGCCCCTGGCTCGACTATGACCTATAAATGGCGAGCTGCCCAGTACGGATCCTCGTGGTATCACGCCCATATTGGTCTGCAAGCCTGGGAAGGTGTTTATGGTGCTATTATCATCAATGGACCAGCAACTGCAAATTACGATCTGGATAGCGGTCCATTGTTCTTGGGTGATTGGACGCATGAAACCGTGGATCAACTACATCAAGACGTCCAAATACGCGGCCCTGTCAAAAAATTGTCAAATGGACTTATCAATGGCAAAAATGTCTATGGAAATGGTACAAATACTACTGGGTCTCCTTTTCATATGAAAGTGGAAAAAGGGAAATCCTACCGGTTGCGACTTGTGAATCCTGCTATCGACACACATTGGAAGTTCACTATTGACAACCACACAATGACCATCATTGCAATGGATCTCGTTCCTATAAAGCCATTTATCACGAACGTCATTAGCCTTGGAATGGGTTCGTTTCTTAGCCCCATCCTTATCGCTTTAAACATACAAATCCAGCTAATGCTCTATACCCAGGTCAACGCTATGATATTATCATCACAGCCAACCAGGATTCCGTGGCCGAATCTTTCTGGATGAGAGCTATACCAGCCGATCGATGCTCACAGAACGAAATGGCCGGTAATATTAGAGGCATCCTCTACTACGGCAACATGCCCAAACAACCGCAGACGCAGTCATTCCCCTTCACAAACGTCTGTGAAGACGAGCTTTTGACCAATCTAGTTCCCCATGTTCCGAAAAACGTCGATCCACCAGTTTCACCGGTCTGGGATAAGAATGTAACAGTCAGTAATTTCAGGAATGCACAGAATTTCTTCCGCTGGCAGTTCAACGCCACCTCAATGAACGTCAGCTGGGAGAACCCGACATTGAGGCAAGTCCACCGCAACTATATGAACTTTTCCAATTCAAGCGGCGTGATTGAGTTGCCCTTCAAGGATAAATGGGTCTATCTCTTCATCCAAAACACCAACGTCGTCACTCATCCCATCCACCTTCACGGTCATGATTTCTCTATCTTGGCGCAAGGGTTACCTGTATCTGGGAAGCCACAATGGGACGGTTCTATCATTACGAAGAATCCCCCGCGTCGAGATACGGCGGTGCTGCCTGGGAGTGGCTGGCTGTTCATTGCTTTCCAGACGGATAACCCTGGAGCATGGCTGATGCATTGCCATATTGGATGGCATGTCGATGAGGGTCTGGCATTACAGTTTATTGAGCGGCAAGACGAGATTCGGGATCTCGTTGATTATACTTCGTTGAATGAGAATTGTGCTGCGTGGGATAAATATGTCAACAGGAAGAATATTGTACAGGAAGACTCAGGGGTTTAAGGAAGTGTCTTTGTGCCAAATGATACCATGGATAGGAGAGAGTGGGCGTTGATGTGGATGTTCAATAGATATATTTGGATTGCGGTGGTGGTGACAGCTTGTATTTATGTGATTATTCGTATTTCATTTTTATCTTCAATATCCTCTCAAATTCTACCTCAAAGTTAGAGAACATATCATAAATCCTAAATCAACACTTTTCAATCGCATTATGTCGTTCCATATCAGGCGTTGATGTTCGTTCAGTTTGCCTTGGACTAACAACCCCAGGAGCAGCAGGAAGAATGCCCTTTTCCATATCCTCTGTTTCTTGCATATCGCTCTTCCTTAGCAAAAGCAAATCATCAATACTTTTTCCTGAATCTTTTGCTTCCTTGCGCAACTTGCGATAGCGGATTCGCCAGGAAATATGGCTAATATATATCCCTGCCTCGAGAACGACCACCAAAACATACATAACTCCCCCAATTATGTCAAATGAACCTTGTGCCGCTATAATACAAATGCGTCAGTCATTTGTCATAGATATTTCTAGGATGTAGAGCAAGTCCTACCTAATGCAAAGAGAGAAAATACTCCGCCTAGGGTGTCGATGGAGAGGAAGACCCAATCTACTAACATCAGCAGCTGTCCGTCAAGTGCTGCAAGTCATAAGAAAACCAACTGAAGCCAATCACCCGTCCATCTCGCTTCCATAATTCAAAATACGGCGGCAGCAGTCCTGCAACAAGGAGAATGGTGGCTATAACCCCAACCACGATGTCGGGCCACTTCACACCGTTATTATACGGTATCTGTCAAGACGTATTAGGTTTTACTTCTTTCAAAAAATAATAGAAAGAAAAATAAAAAATACCCTCAAAGTCAAGATGAGAAGAGCTTCCAATCCCCCAAATAAAATAACCGTTCCCAGGGATACCAGGGCAGCCTTGGTTTTGCTATAGTCACTATCAAAATTGAAGAACAGCGATCAGCAATGCGCGCACAATAAATCCATACCCGCACCCAGAAGAGAAGGAAAAGAACAGAACCCCAACTCACTGGTTGTAATAAAGAACCTGACCCCAACTAACAAGAGAAAAAAACCCGAAGATCTGAGGTTGAACCTGCAACGGGACATTGACTTGCTATAGCAAGGACGATAAAAGACAGCGGTCAGCGATATATAGATAAAAAGAAACGTTGAATTATAAGGCAAGGGCGATTTAACTCACTTGCAGAATCAGATATGCGCCCATTGGAACCGAGCCTGCATGAATCACAATTGTGAGTAAACCCAGTTTCAATCATGAAGAGTTCTTTTCTTTTTCCTCCTTTCTCTTTCCTCTTTTGAGTGATATTCCCCACATATCAAGAGACTCGAAAAATAACCCTCGAAGCTCTAAAACCCTATAAAATGAAGAAACAGAGACAACTCACAGCTCGCCCAGAGAAACATCATCGCCGCGGGGAATCCATCTGTGTTTTTACGCCGCCAGTTATACCAGATCTGTGGTAATAGCTGGATACACCAGAGAACTGTCCCGATGGTACCGAGGACGTTCGATGCCAATGTGACATTGTTTTCTGGCATCCTTGAAGTAGACGAGGTATATCATGCGTATAGAACAGGACGAAATTAAAACAACGTGTACTATGTACACAATATATACAAGAAAAATAAAAATGCCCGAGTAGAAAGTATATATCAAATTATAACAACTAGATCTACGAGGCGGGCTAGTACATACTTATACTAAACAGCCAACGCACAAACCCAAGAACTAGTCCACGAAACAGCGGAGACAAAATCGGAGATTTGGGGTTTTAATTGCGAATCAGTGCGAAGGTCAGGTCCCCTTCTTATGCTATGCACAGTATCGCATGAGCACCAATCCGCCAGTCGAGCCAGTCACGATTCAATGATAAACGCCAGGTGATGCAGGCAAGTATCAAGATGATGAGTATGAATCCCAGATGCCCTGCTATTAGTGGGAACGGAGATAGAGAATGCAGGATGATAAATTCAGTGCAGAATAAACCAGGAATAGACGAGGAAACGACAGGGGAATAAGAGAAAGCTTGGGCAAACACAATGCAGCGGTGAAGTCTTGACCGTTTGATGCAGGACTTGGCTGATGGATCTTCACGATTAGTGCATTGGCCTATAAGGGAGAGGTAGATTTTGCCTACTTTTTAGGCCTGGAGTGAGAGAGCGTGATGGTTTAGTCTGTCTAGCAAGAGGGAGAAGAAGAACTAGTATGTGGTTTATAGAGAGATATTGATACTGATTTTGAGAAGACAGGCTCTTTTGCTAAACATCAATATCCCCGCATTTTCAAGGTTGATCGAGAACTGCAGAGTTTGGGCTCGAGAGTACAGTACGAGAAGAAGCCTAAAATATTTGATGGTTATTAGAGGAGGGGAGAGGTTATTATGGACTAAGACTAGATGGGTTAATATATAGAGAATGAGGGCTGGAATACGGGGGTTGGGGCTATAATAATATACATTGGTGTTGTTGGTGTTTGTGCATTGCATTTGCATTTCTTCGATGGTTGCATGTAACGGGCTGGATCTGGGGGAAACCTGGAGGTAGAGGGAAGCTATTAATATAAATTAACACTAAGCTGGGTAAAAGTAATAAATCCGTACTTATAGACAATATATCAGATACAATACCCCTATATACCACTATCCATTGTTCAATTCTCCGGTGCACATACCACATGTGGCTACCCGCTTTGATTTGACATATCCGATCCCTTAAATAAAAAAATAGACCCTAATAATAAAATAAGTGTGAAGGACTGTTCTAGAACCTGTGAGGCCCCACGAGTGTGTTTAGGTGGATTCAAACACCGACATTACGTAGACGTATACGTAACAAAGTAGGCAGATCACAATTTAGTGAAGTGCACTAAAGCCAGGACATTACTATCCTAACATATAGGCACGTACCATCTCACATGGTTGTTTTTCCATGTAGAAATAAGTCTTTCAAGATCAACAGACCAAAATTCTAAACCCGATTCCAACACAATGGAGAATAGCACCTCAATCATGAAGTAGCATAAAGGAAAGAAGCGGGATAAACCACCCGCTAGAGTAAAAACACAGATAACCCCAAACCACAGAAAAATACGTGCCAAGAAGAGAAACATGTAACACAAAACAGAAGGAAGCCATCAAGACATCACGTTAGAGGAACCAAAAAATCACACACACATCGAGGTTGGATCCGAAGGGTATCAAGGGGAAGGGAAACAGATTTTGCGACAAGAACAAATGGCAAGAAACTCGGACAGGGAAAAAAAAAAATGAAAATGAGCAGACATCATGCATACGAACCAGAGATCACAGAAGGATCAGATAGTTCGAGGGCGCAATGCCAGTATCTCCATTTTGCTTCCGAGCTTGCCACCATCGGCCGCTCACATCGGATACTTCCAAAATCTCGTGCTTAGCGAAGCTAATTTCATTGGCGTCTTCTGGATTGGCGTCATAAGAGTAGATAGCCTTGGCTCGGTAGGGGTAGTCTGTTGGCTGGGGCACTTCGCCCACTTCCTGGTCGCCGTTTCCGTTACCCGAAGTCTGGGGGTTGGGGGTACCGAAGCGAGCCGCGGAGGTTCGTTCGGCGCCAGGCGCGCCGCCAGGGTATCCGGAGACAGGGGACGAGGTCTCGAAACCACCTAGTTGGGCGGAGGTGTACATCTGCGGGGTGTTGCCGGTTGCCATGGTGTCTGGGCGGGCGCCGAATGCGCTTGACATGGGGCGGCTGCCGCGGTAGGAGGGGTCGGCCGGCTGTTCTTTGTTCAGGGCGAAGGAGTCGATAAAGCCGCGGTGAGTCGCCTGCGGTGTGGAACCGAAGTAGAAAATCCAGATAATGATGATCATGGAAAGCAGGATGAAGCCTGCGCCTGCCGCTTGCATGGAGCCTTGGTTGCCGTAGATAAGGTTGTTTGCGCTCGTGGATGTTAGGACGAGGCCACAGGCAAGGTAACCGACGATCTGGAGGCATTATCAGTAACAAGGCCCTAAAATATTCGGCATTGAAGAGTCATCATACCGCGACGCCATAAACGTGGCCCGTGTCAGTACCAAAGGTCGCGATGAGGCCCACAATGACACAAAACATGTATGAGGTGGCCCACCATGAGTAGTTGGGATATTCGGTTTGCACATCAGCAATGATAGATGAAATGAAAGCAATGAGCCATGCCAGCTAAAATTGTATATTAGTCAATTGTCGAGTTGTGTAGGGGGAAGTCGAACGAACGATTGAAATGGAGACGGTCGCGAGCGCGAACGGGTCACCTAGGAGGTTGCTAGGCCGAAATTTGGCCATTTTGTTGGATCTTTAGATTGGATTGGAGTTGGGTAAAGGCGATTTGAAATGATCGAAGAGAAAGAAGGAAGATGAGCGATGTGTTGGTATATAAGAGTGTTGTTGTTGAGTCCTGAACGAGGCAGACGGGAAGGAGCGACTGTAGTTAATTAGTGTGGAGCGACAAGTGAGTGAATAAAATGTGCCAATATGAATTAATGACAGTGACAAATATGAAGAAAGCCTCTACAAAAAGGAAGATATGGGATTTGAAGTACCTTAAGATAGAGGTGGGTTCAGAGACAATCGGGGGTGAAGAGGTTGGGAATCAAAAGGTCCCCTTGCAGAGAGGCAAAAACAGCACCAGGCTGGGGAAAATGAAAGGAACAATAGTCAAAAAAAAAAGATATAAAAGAGTGGATAATATTGAATGTTGAAAGAGAGAGGAGAGAAGCGATGTAATATTAAATGGAAAAGGAGGAAAAGTGGCAGATTCACAGTGGAGTCCGGGCCCCCCTGGAAATCGGTCTCGATTCTCTTTGGGAAATTCGGGAAATTAAAGAGAAGAGATTGAGAAATCTGGATTTGATAACCCATAATATCATAAATGGGCTTCTCTTATTATACCCTTACTTTCGATTTTATCTACTTTGTACTCCGTATACTCCGTACAAATAGAAAATAAAAAGTGACTCTGGACAATCTATAAATATCCGGCTATCTTAGTCATCTCCCGCTTTACCTAGGTACATGCTAGGTACCTTACGATTGGGCCATACATGTACCTGGATGTATGTACCCAGGTACGGAGTATACTGCAAATAAGTTGGTTCGGCAGAATGGCTGAATCATCATCCAATTGGGGCTGTGGCGCAACGGTAGCGCGTGCGACTCCAGTTCGCAAGGTTATCCGTTCAAATCGGGTCAGCCTCATTTGTTTTTGTTTTTCTTTTATTCGCAAGGCTATCTATCTACTGAAGGGTCAGCCCTCATCTCCTTCATTTGTTTTTGGTTTGTCTTTTGCTAGAACAAACTGCTATCCTTTTCTCACTACACAGATGAGAGTTTACTCTTTTTTTTGTGAGAAGGAAAGAGAGCTAGAGATTACTATTAGCACATGCGAATACAGAAGTACATACCGAGCTGCCTCGACCGCAGTTGAGTAACTAGCACGTCTAGTATTGGGTGTACAGGTGGTTATGCTGTTTAATCCTTATACGTCCTATAGATCTATAATCAGGTAGTTTTTGTACTACTAAGTAAAATATTATAGTCATCCTAGAATTTCCATGTACGAAGAGGAGTCAATTCGGGGGGAAGTATTAGGGTTACGACAGAATTTGCTTTATCTAGATTAAAGCTTTGCTCGCTATATTTGCATGATGCCTAGAGGTTCATATATTATCACTGCATCAATGGCCAATATATTGGTTCTCCACAAATTTTGGAGGGATATTGAAGTGTAGAGAAGGGAGAGGAGAGAGAGTCAGAAGTTTGTCCAGCAAACGAAGCTAACTCGAGACCTAAAACTGACTCTTAGATATACTTATGACAATGCCTCGACTTTTTCTGCTTAAACGCCGCATCTTCCTGACTTGAAACCATAGAACTGTATTTATAGAATTTCAAGATCGTAGTCAGCAGGATAAAAGTCAATTTAATGAGATGACAAAATCTTATTTGGCAAAAAGATGATTCCTCTGGTAATCATCTTTAAGGAGACCCCAGTTAATTGGGGAACCTGATAATCTGGTTTAAGCGCAATTTGAACCGCGAGCTTTGAGGGACTTCGCCCGCCCAGATAGGATATCGCTTGAGCGTTTACCGCTTAGCTAGACCTCCTAGGCAAAATACTTGGTTGAGATGTTATATTGAACCTGTGTGGCTTTCCTGTTCTAGTGTTTTACTACTTAAGATATCGGGCCAGGGTTCTATGGTCAGACATAACTCGGAAGACAAGCAGTTTTTGATGCCTCATAAATAAGTTTCCTGCCCTGGTGAAAACTGTGCAGGGTTTGCACAGGCTGTGTAGTAATTGAATGAGTACTTCATACTTTGAGAGAAAAAAAAAATAAAATGTGAAAAAGCCAAGGAGAACAAAGGAATATTTTGAAGAAATAAAAAAAAGTAAATGAGGCTGACCCGATTTGAACGGATAACCTTGCGAACTGGAGTCGCACGCGCTACCGTTGCGCCACAGCCCCAAATTGGTAAAGATTTGCTCTTCATACTGCACTATGATAATAAAAGCTTTATACTCCTTTGGCTTTTTCCCATTCCTCCTTTTTCCACAAAAAAAAAGGGCACAAGAATAAATCTCTAGAAGCTATACAACATAGAAATCTATAAAAAAAAACAAGTAACTGGGTTTGATGTGCCCCAGCAAAATTTATACCAAAGAGAATATCTACATAATACATGTTGAGTTTTCTATAACTTTCCTATGCAAAAGGATACTTGGGCATATAAGTTTTTAGGTAGTTGGGAGATATAAAATGATATATATACGTAAATATAACTACATCCATGGATGTATCAAACTTGATAAAGAAATACTGCGGCAAAAAGATATCATCTAGAATATTATAAATTGATATCATCTTCATGCGAAGTTGTCTTTCTACATTCCGGGGTTGTATTTCCTGTGCATGGGCTCACAAGTACAAAGTATAGAAGACACATTCCTAGAGAAGATTGGCAAAAAGAACATGAGGCTGACCCGATTTGAACGGATAACCTTGCGAACTGGAGTCGCACGCGCTACCGTTGCGCCACAGCCCCAAATTGATGGTGTGGTTCCCACTTTATAGCTCTATGAATATTTACACATATAATAGCTTAGCCAAGACTTAGCCAAGATGTCGCTCCGTACCAATTACAAGCTTGACCTAGGATGGACCTATATACTATGTATGTATATCCTTCGTTTTCTCTCCTTTTCATCTCCCAGTACTGACTTCTCTTCTTCCGTTGTTTCTTGCTAACCAATTAGTAAATTAACCGAACATGTAACTAATCCTAACATTATATTAACTAGAATTATGTATCACTTAGTTACATGATTTATATATTCCTAATGATAAGAATGGCGTGCTACAACTATATATATGTTAACCTTGGGCGCGGTCGTTATACGGGAAGCCCTATATAACAAAGAGTATGTCTGGCTTGGAGCAGCTCTACTCCGTACTATATGATTCTGTGCATATGGATACCCGTGGACTTACTGGAGGCCTGTTCCCGTTAGCCAGCGCACAACACCATATAATTCCTCACTGGGTACCTACGAACTTGATCACAAATCGTTATCCTTTACAAGTCAGGAGTCAATATACTGTTCTGAAAATTTGTGCTCAACAACCACATTTGCGTAGGTGAAGAACCTGGGGTATATTAGCACAGTCCAATTGTTGTCAAATATAATGAAAAATATGATATAAACTATGTTCATACATATTCAAGGTAGCGGTATTTGATCTAGGATGGGCTGAGGGGAATAGCTTTCCATATACCACATTGGAACATACCCATCAAATCCTCGGCTTAACCAAGCTGGATATCATATTCACCTGTAGGTATCCATAGATATAAACTTGAATATCAAAATACCTATATACGTATCCTGTAGATTGGACTCTCCATACCGTATGTTAAGATGGGAAATATCCCACCTGCACTGTGCAAGATAGAAACACCGAACGCCTAAATCAGAGGTATCATAGCGAAAAACAGCAAGAGCAACAGCAACAGCCAGAAACATCACTCTCCAGCCTCTCAGTGGAATGTCACCCGAAAAAAGACATCTGACAAGCCTCCCTCTAAACCTCCTCCTCTCTCCCCCGTCTGACAACTTCCCCCCTCCTGACCTCCCTCTCAACATCCTCAAGTCTTCCCTCCCACTCGGCCCAGCACTCCCCACTCCCAACAAGCCCAACCTCATACCAGCGCTGTAGCACGCGCACCGTGCGCGTCCTCAGCTCCGATATGTCAGCCGCCTGCTCACTCTGCGTTTGCATGAGCCGATCTAGTTGTGGCTGGAGGTCGATTAGTGCTGCGGAGCTCTGCGCGTCCGGCACAGGGAGGTCGTTTAGCGACGTAAGGCGTGACGCAGTTTCGGGGAAGGCGGTGGCGTAGGAGAGGACTATAGAGGCTAGGGTCTGGGTTGTGAGGCCTTCGGGGATTTGGTGGGGTGGTGTTGTTTGGAAGAGGTCGGGATTGCGGTCGTCTGGTTGGGGTTGTGTTAGTATGATATTGGATAGGATGGGTTGGATTGGATATGTGAGATTTCATTATGCAGACATTAGGATTCGCAATTCAGACAGGGGGAGGGTATGAGATGAGGGGGAATGCTGTGGTGATAATGCGGGTGTAAATAACATTGATACTGGTTACATACGAAGCTGTAGAACATCCCGCACGGCTGGGACACTTCGACTGAGCCGCTCTAGTTCTGATTCTAGTCCTGCAAGGCGACGGGAGACTGTCTCGTCGAGAGATGTGGGCTTTTCGGGCGTGGTAGGGACACCGGTCCAGTCTGTGGTGCCGGTGAGGAGGTAGGTAAGGCGGCGTAGGCGCGCTTCGAGGAGTTCGATGGTGGCTCCAGCCACTGCGTCGCTTTCGAGAGCCATGGTCTGTAGAGATCAAAGATCAATGGGGAGAATTGCGAGGGGAGTTGATTGAGAAAGAGTGCCAGGAGCTTGGTGAGGTCTGGTGCAAACATGGCAAAATGTGGGGACAGCCCTTTTAAAGCTTATCAGCTGTACGGAGTACAAAAAATGTGCATACATCTATGGATGGACCTCGGGACGCTTCTACACAATGATTTGTCTGTTATAATATGAAATTCTTCATAGGAGATCGACACTTGGGACACTAGGGCTCATTAAAATCAAATCATTTGGCATACAGCCTAAGATTGGAATTGCTCTACAGTATCTACATATTCATCATTCATTCATTCGTATGCTTTCCCCGCATGCTTCATTCAATGCTACTTCACATGCTCAAGATGGTGCACTGTGCCATCATCATCTGCATAATTCCACTCTGGATCAACTTGCGAGGCAGTAGGCGCGGTGGAATTGGTTGCGGCGGCGTGATGACCTAAGAGGCTCGCTCCACCCTTCTCCTGCATCTCTTGGCTGGGCTTTGGCTCATCGTCGAACCCGGAGACCTCATAGTCAAAGACATTCACCTGTGTGGCCTTCTCTGCCATTTCAGGCTGCTGTGCTTTGTGCTGGGTTTCCACATCGTTCGACTCCACCCAGGAATCTTCTTGGTCGCTAAAGATTATGGTAGGGGTATTCTCGAATTCACCTCTAAAGGCATCGTTGTCTCTATTCACGAAGCCCTACTTCCAATTAGCCGGGGACTCTAGAATGATCTGAGAAAAATTGCGTGTCTTACCTGAAGCTGTGACGGCGCAGGATCCACTTGTGCGTTCACTGCATTCTCGCTCGCATACACGAGTAAGACAGAACTCCATTCTTCACGAGCGGCCTGGAGCACTTCAATCTCCTGAACTTTCCGAACGGTGTAGCCAACAACCCCGCCATCCTGTGTGGCTGCAGTGTCGCCTTGGGATTTCTGTTTCTCGGCTTGTCGGGTCTTTCCATCTTCTGCCGAGAAGCTGATTCGCCACCACTGATAGTCATTGCTGTTTTCAGTATCCGAGTCCATATCCATTAAGTGACCTGGGGCGGTCGTTTTCGGATTCGATAAAACATAAGTCACATGCGGTTCGGTGCATACGCCTCGTAGCATATACTTGTAGACAGGAGGCTCGGAAGGTGACTTGGGAGGTTCGGTAAGTGTCTTTGATATTTCACGGAGAGACTCCATGGCACTCTGCTTTCTAAGTTCCAGTTCTGCACTCGGGTTAGTAGCCAACATTATGAGCATGATGGGAACGGTTGTCTTTACCTTTGAGCTTGGCTTCTATTCTTGTGGCAATTGTTCTCAATTCCTCTGCGACTCGCATCGTCTCTGGACCTGTCGCTCCGGAGGGAGACTGAACGGGATTGCTCACTCGCTCTGGCGCAACCAATGGCACCGCCTGGGCAGCTTGTTCAAGGAGTTCCGTGATTGTCGAACTGCCCACGGCGTCCCGCGGAGTCGTATAGCGGTGTATGAGTCGTTCGAGTTCCAACACATCCCCCTGTATCTGCTGTCGCTTTGCGCGGAACTCACGAGAAAAATCTCGGCAGCTGCTAAGATACCGATCTGGATAGAACACAGAATGGATATCCACACCAACAGGATTTGGTTTTTGAAGAGCATCGAGTCTAACGACTAACACTTCTGCTAAATGTTCAAGCCATGCATCGTCAAGCTCCTTCCCTGGTCTATCAGACCATAAAGCTGAATCCAAAACATCATAGAGCGTTTGGCCACTGTCCTGCTCAACAGGAGGCTCAAAAGTGAAGAGCTCCCTGCTATCAGGCTCAGCGAACTGGCCGAAAGACTCTTTCCTGTATGCATGTGACGTGAATATGGTTGCCAGTGGGTTTTCAGGATCTGCCTGAATAGCTGCACTATGCCATGCTTCCAAAAACCTCGTGACGCTCTCCTCCGAATCTGCCGAAAGGGATGACATGCTTTTAAGCTTTGATAAACAGTCGCTGCTGCCAAAAGCCCGTTTCGTAGTATCCATAAAAGCCATCAGCCGCTGGGTCTCATGAATGATATCATCCCAGTCGCTATCACCGGCCTTGCCATCATCCATTGTGACAATCTTTGGCAGGTTGATCGGCTGCCCATTCCACCACTGCGACTCATGACCGTAGTCAAACAACGGTTTGTTCCGCAAGAGCAAGGCTTCTCGCGCGAGAGGAATACTGTGGAGAATTGTCAAGAGCCCTCCTAGGTAAATGCCGTCTGGGTTAGGGCGGATAAACGCAGGTTCGCCCTCCACTCTTTTGCGGTCTTCTGGATCTGGGCTAATCATGACTTCTTCAGATGATGTGTTGAATAAAGTCATCGCCCAAGCACCTTCTTCGTAGTGATCTCGGGTTGCTTTGTTGAACTGCGACTGTGTATTTGACGTCACTCCGGTTTCCTGCTGTCCTATATCCGAATTCAATGACATAGCAACTGCCTGCTGCAATTCCTTTTCTTCGCGTTCTGCTAGACTGAGATTTTGTCCGGAGCCTTCTATATGGTCAAACAACCGCAAATTAGTATACCTCTTGCAGTTGAAATTTCAAGATTGTGATACCCTTCGGAGCGATCGCCACAGAATCTTGATATCCAGTATTTTGTTCCGGGTCGCGTATGTCTGTTCGGGAAGGGGGACGAGAGGGTGGTGCTGTCGCTGGCATTGGTGGCGCATTGTCTTGTTGGGCAAAATCCCATGCTGGGGCGGGGTATGTTAATTCCTAAACTGAATTCGCGTGAGACGTAATCTTACAAGAGCCCCTGTTGTCATTCCAGTAGCTGGTTATTGGCTTTAAGATGTCAGATCATATCCAGGAGTTGCTGCGCGTCGCCAAATTTACCTTTAGTTGAGACCCTGTTGGATCTTCGAAGTAGGCGTTGATCGCTTTTTGTGAGTCAAGGTTGTTTGCCTATAGTAAAATTAGCTAATTTATTGTTTAACAACCCAGTGGCAGTCTCCTACCTTCAAGAAGGCGATGGCTTGCTCGCGTGTCGTGCTTGTGAAACTGACGAAGCTGGTGATGGCTTCCTCGGTCGGTTCGGAAGCCATGTTTGGTTCTGCGCTGGAACTGGAAACCAATAGATCAATGTACAAGCATGGCAGGGGCACGGAAAGCAAATAGAACAAAGCAGGAAAAGAGTTGGGAAAGAGAAAGAGAACGGGAAAGAGTCGCAATGGAGCTTCCCCACCACATGACGCCAAGCGTCATTCCGCTATTTGAGTTCTTTGTACTGATTGTCCTCCCCCTTGTCCTCTACCTCGATTTTTTACTTCTTTGAGCTTAAAATATACATGTTAGGACTTGCTCGAGCATTTCTTTCACTTCTCAGTCTATTTTGAGTCTATCGATGTTCATACCTCGGACTAGTTCACGTTCACAATGGATATATATCTTGAGAACTCATTGTCTACTTGTTAGGTGTTTGAATGGCCTACTCTGGGTCTTTACACTACAATACTATTTATGGTCGAAACAAAGCAGTACATAATAGTACAATGGCCCTTGAGAGCTAAGGCGAGCGAATATAAAGACCCTTCTCTTTCCTGCTAGATAATAATTCATCACACCTTGTAATCAACACAGCATCCAGCATCCAGCTTTTATTTTCACTTTTACAAGCCTTTATAAATTATTATATTATAGATATCACAATGGCCCAGACACGCAACAAGGCAGCCAAGAAGGCCAAGGCAGTCAATATCCTCAAGACCACCAACAAGAAGAATATCAGCAAGAAGACTACCAATAAGAAGTCTGCCAGCAAGAAGGCTGCTCAAATGGCTCCCCGTTCTCCAATCGACCTCAACAAACTTTTCCCACCCTGGGGCTCTGAAGAGGCGCTGAACCAGACGGCAAATAAGGTAGCTACTGATATCATCGAAGCCATGTACCATGACATCAATGCCTACTGCCATCTTGAGAGACTCGTGCACGACAATTCTTTCAATTGTCGGGAAATGTTCTCTAACATGCATGTCTTCACAGAAGGATTTGTGGAGCGGGAAATCGGCACCTACATGGCCACCGTGGAATCTTTCAAGGCGGAACATGGTGAGTTCCAACCCGTCGCACCTAACAGCAGGTTTTTACAGTTCGTTACTGGACTCGGATGGAAAATATTCGCTGTCTGTGCCCATGCTGAAGCATTCCGACGAGCGATCAAAGAGGCTGATGATAGAACCTGGGATTTCCTGCTCCAGAAGATTCAGGGAAACCTTTTGAGCCTTGAACTTTATGCACACAGCCGTGCCCTGAAGTGGCGTAATGTGCTTTGGATCCACCAGGGATACTCCATCCCAGGCTTGCCAGATCTGAAACCCGAAATTGAAAGATACATGGAGTGGAAGGTCGACCACCCTCACCACACCGTCATCACGCTCGACGGCAAACTGAAAGAGCCCCTGTGGAAAGGCAAGTTACAGCAACATATCAACGAGAGTATATATGATCCCAAGAAGTGGGGTGGTCGTAAACAGGATCCGACGCTTCGTAATATGCCCAATGGCCATTCGACCAACGTCGGACTTGATTGCTTTGTATGCGGCGAACCTGATTCTTGTGGCTGCCGCGCGACATCTGTGGCAGCAGACCTGGTTGAGTTGAGAGAATACCCTCAGACAGGTACTGGTGTTCGATCGCTGGCGAAATGGACCCGCGGTGATATTCTCGATATATTCATCGGTGAGCTCCTTCCTGAGTGCGTAGAGACCGTTTATCCTCTTATACAATGCGAAGACAAAGACGAAGCGAATATCCATAAAGCTCGCGAGCTGTGTACAATCTCCCCCCACCATTTTGGTAACTGGACCCGTTATATCAGCCATTCATGCCGGCCATCGACTGAGTTCACGACTCGCACCATTGGAAATCGAGTTGTGTGTACAGTTGAAGCCCTTCGTGACATCATGGTCTTCGAAGAGATTACTGTTGGCTATGGGGATAGATACTGGAAGACTAAGGACTATGAATGCCTATGTGGGCACTGTGATGGTTCTGGGACTAAATAGGAATAGGATGCACTGATCGGTTATGCAATCTGAATTTTTGAATTTAGAATGGATTTTCAAAATAAATTATTGAATAAATACTCTGATTTTATTTTACTTTAATGTAATGTAGGAAACATGTAGTGTATAAAGTACAAATTCGATATTTGATGGGAGATAGTATTGAGAATGACGTGCGGAGCACTCCCCTACATACTAGTTCCTCGGTATCCCCGCAATTCGAGGTGCGGGGAAAGTTATATGGGCATACTTTCCGTGGACCGAATTTCTTGCTCTTTAATTCCCCTGTTCTAAATTCATCGGCTTGGACGATTGTAACCTGCTAGCAATTGCAGTGCTCTATTCGGTTGATACAGATACCCGCAGCTCTCAGGTAGAGTCGTGAAACATCGGACAATCCAGTATTGGAATATGAGCTACACCGGTATTATCACGAGACTTGGCTCGAGAGGCCGTATATCGTGTCGGAAGTCTGGGTTTGAAGGGAAGAGAGTCCTTCAGCAAGCATTCTTGGTCAAGAGAGGACTACTAACAGAGAGCTATGCGCGGGGCCCATCAAGCGTGAGTATTATCCGCCCAAGAATAATTAGATAAGAACACGATTGATATGAAGCGATAATTATCTGACCATATTTCTTTCATATAGCCGCCATTGATTGACTCCACAGTCGGCGACTATTTTGCCAAGATTGTCGCGGAATGCGGTGATAGAACAGCGTGAGAATCGTGACGCAAGATAGAGCAATTGAGACTCGAGATAACTGACTATACCTAGTGTCATCTCAAGACATCAGAATGATCGAGCAACATATGCTTCCTTAGACACAAGAAGTAATGCTCTCGCCCGGGGGCTAGCATCAGTGGGTGTTGGCAAAGGGGAGCGGGTTGGAGTCATGCTTGGGAACTCGATGGAATACGCCGTGGTACGTTGCCTGAGGGAAACCCCCAGGAAGAAAAGAACAAGGCTAATATTTGTTACCAGGCGACGTACGCGTTATTCAAACTTGGTGCCATTTTGGTAGATCAACCCGTTCATTATATTATGAGACATCGTCTCTAATAATTTGATAGGTTCCGCTCAATCTGTCTTTCAATACTGCACAAGTAATTGCAGCTCTGGGTCACCTGGAATCCAGTTATCTTTTAATCAGCACAGAGTCAAATCTGCCCCGAAAAAAACCACGAAGCAATATCCCCTTGCTCGATGACCTTGTTGAAGATCTCTACAAATCAAAATTGGAGTCCGCACTGGTCCCTTCTCTGAAAAAGGTCATCATGGTCGACAACTCTGAAGGTCGGGTGGATATATCATCATATAAAAGCTTGATGTCATATTCATCTATTATGTCCGAGCTTGCTGCTGACGGCCGCCCGCTTCCTCCTCAAAATCTCTCGCCGCATGAAATTGTGAATATCCAGTTCACATCAGGAACCACATCAATGCCCAAGGCAGCATGCCTCAGCCACCACTCCACCCTGAATAACGGCTCTCAGATCGGTGATCGCATGCTTCTTACGCCGGACGATATTGTCTGTTGCCCACCACCGCTGTTTCATTGCTTCGGCAGTATATTAGGCTATATGGCGACAGCAACTCACGGTTCGGCCATCGTCTTTCCCAGTGAGTCTTTCAATGCCCGTGCTGTGCTTGAGGCTGTTCAAGAAGAGAAATGTACCGCGCTGCACGGTGTGCCAACGATGTTCCTCGAGGAGCTAAGCATGATCGAGGAGAGAGAAATCTCCAGCGAGGGATTCCAGCATCTTCGCACGGGCATCGCTGCTGGAAGCAGTATTCCTTCCGAGATAATGAAGAAACTGCACAGGGTACTGAATCTGACCGAATTGACAATCTGTTATGGAATGACGGAAACAAGTCCCGTCTCGGCTATGACAACGACAGATGATCCCATTGATAAGCGGATCTATTCTGTCGGAAAACTCATGCCACATGTCGAGGCAAAGATCGTGGACCCGGTGAACAAGAAAGATATCCTCCCTATAGAGGCACGGGGCGAGTTGGCAGTGAGCGGGTACCTATTGATGAAGGAATACTGGGCCGATCCAGAGAAGACCGCGGAGGTGATGATTCCAGATGAATCTGGCAAGGTGTGGATGCACGTGAGTCCAATATTTCATTCTTTGTTTCAAGTAAAGCTGTTTTTCTCTGACCACTGCTTTTAGACTGGAGATGAAGCTTCTATATCACCAGATGGATATATCACTATCACTGGACGGATCAAAGACCTGATCATTCGCGGTGGCGAGAATATACACCCCCTAGAGATTGAGAATTGCTTGCTAGCCAACGATGGCGTTGCAGATGTGTCTGTCGTCGGCATCCCCGACGTGAGATATGGCGAGGCAGTCGCTGCTTTTGTTGTTGCTCGGGACCAAGGCTCAAAGACCGTCACTGCCGAGGATATCAAGCAATGGGTGCGTGAAAAGCTTAGCAACCATCTGAGTAAGTCATAACTCAGCCGCTGGACTACTGCATCGTTTTCCGTCGTTTTCAGCTGGTTTTCAATCATCCTAACAATTGTCCTATGGACTGTGCTGATGTTTTACTTGCCTATAGTTCCGAAGCATATCTTCTTTTTGGGCCCTTCGGAGTCTTTCCCCAAGACAGCAAGTGGAAAGATCCAGAAGTTCAAGCTCAGGGAGAAGGCCATTGCACTTTTGGCCAAGAGCACTGTAGAAATAGCAAGCGCGTAAAGTCAAGGCCTGGCTTTGCATATATTTCAAGTAAATAAGTGTCTGGTATTCTTGTATACGCTGATTTGTTCAAACCTCATTGCTCATTAGTTAGAATTGCCATATGATCACTGAAGGCTAAATTACGAGCCTGAGTACATAATCCATACTATTCATCTTGAGAACTGCCACAAATGTATCATACAAAGGTAGCCAGATGAAGATCTAGGTAGAGTGTTCACTCTGAAGTCAAGTTTTGATGGTCAGAAATGGACAGCAGACAAATTTCAGGAGCAAGAGCCAGTAACCGAATAGCATCAATCTAGAAACGTCCTCATAGCAATCCAGGGGTTTCAACAATGCTGTGAAGGTGAGCACCTGCTACCTCCTAGGATGGCAATTAATGGCAACCAGCGCCCATTGCGGAAACTTTGGATGATGCCAACACATCCACATCCCAACGGCGAACCCGAAGCTGTCGATGGGGTAGAAAACTCGAAAGTACGGTCAAGTCCCTCTTTTGCGGCTTTTCGAGAGCGGGGGTATTTCAGAGCTAGCCGAATGAAGTCAGATAGACGCCACGAGAAATAGTTTATAGCATCACATAGAGCCAGTGAGCAAACTTCGCTGTAGCCCACGTCTCAGGAGCATGCGCAACAGGTTTTCTGAACCTAGAAATCCTGAATGCCAGTTTCACCCTGGAGATTCGGGCGAGCATCATCCCCGCGCGTGCCGTCAACCACCCATTCAGGCTCCTCGTCATCGAAATACTGGTCTTGCTCATCTGAGTGATCATCGTACTCGTCATTTTGATCAACAGTCTTGTAATCGAAATCAGAGTCATTGCCCTGCATGAAGCGCAATCCCATCTCCCACCGCCATTGACGCTCGCCTTCTTCCTTATTTGGGGGTATTTCATCACGGTCTTCGGCGAGGATCTCTCCATCTGGGCCGCGAGTGTAGCTCATCATAGCATTAGGATCTGGATTTGAGATCGCATCCATCTTAGCTTCAGATCGCATGAGATCGGTCTCCAGGACACCCGAGAACCCCTTCGCTCGGCCCTCAGCCTCTCTTTCTTGCGCTGTCTGGAATCGGCGGATGAGGCGATCATAAAGTAATGGGTCTGCGGAGAAGTTGAGTAGGATTAGCATTGTATTTTTTTTGATTGCTTCTGTATGTAAAGTCAACTGGCACCGGCGATAAAAACAGGGACGATATGTGTAAAATAATCAACTAGCAATGGGAGAGAATAGAGCAGGCGGACCGGCTAACTCGAGCGCCGCCGAGAAGTATTCTGGATGTAAGTCCAGATACCGCTTGCGGCGGTTTTTGACTGTGACAGATTTCTTTGCACAGGATGCATCTTTGACTGGAAATCCAGAATCCTTAGGGAAATGAGGCATCTTTGGTGTGTTTCAAAGTGTGGAGCTGGATAGGAGAAGAAAGTTGGGAACGCGGAGCTGAGCGGCAAAAGTGCCTCCATCTCCGTCATAAACTTTTTTTTTGCCCGTTGAAGATTACTTGATATGTGTTTGTTTTGAACGTGTAAGTCAAAGATCTGATTCAAGATACATATATAACTTTTATTATTCATTGGATGTCCATTGCAATAAGGAGGAAAAGGACACGGTTTCAGGTTGCTAGTTGCTAATAAGCTTGCAGATGCGCTATTTTGGTTGATTTCTCCACCACATATATCCAGAACTGCATCAGCTGGAAATCATGTCTGTGCAGGATTTCTTGCAGCGGGTTGATGCCCGAAGGTTCAGCACCGGCGTGATCTTGCTGATCCTGCTTGCCTTCTACTCACCCCTTTCTAAGCTGGTTTTGTCTCCAATCTATGGATCTTTCGCCGCGAATATCTTCCATAGTTTTGGAGTGGCCATCTCCGGCGGAGTCGGATGGCTACTAAAAGATAAGATTCTCAAACGTCTAGGCCGTCTTGGTGGCTTCATGCTCCCTGTGTTGGCATTTTGGGTTCCGACTCTCCAGTACGTTATCAAGCAGCAAAGCTCTAAAATTGGCAACCCCACTGGTCCAGTAGTCACAGAACTTTGTGGTTACTACCCTCTGGTGTTGTTGACAGTCGCATATGCCGGAAAGCAAATCCAGACTGCTTTGAGACTGGAAGCGCAGGGCGATGTGATTGTTGAGCATGTGCCCTTGATAGGTACATATATATTCTATTCGGCCGGCGAACACATTGCCAAATTTGTTCTTTCATGGATTGTTGGGTCCTCGGTGTTTTTCACCCGAGTTGGCATGCAAATGCTCCTCGCGGCCGCATATGCTGCGCTCATCCCGTCGAGATGGCTAGTCCTGGCCATTCCCTCTATAATTTTCTCAGTCACTTCCAATGTCCATTTTGCTGGAATTAGTGGTGTCAATTCTGCAATTGAGCACGAAGGATATTCTCTCTTGGCACGACAGGAGGCTTACACAGGATACATTTCTGTTTTGGAAAACAACAATGATGGATTCCGGGTTATGCGTTGCGATCATAGTCTGCTCGGTGGACAGTGGACCAAACTACAACCAGGCTACCGACCTGAGGTGGAAGATCCTATTTACGCAGTCTTTGCTATGCTTGAGGCTGTCCGTCTGATTGAGCCGGATCATGGCGTTCCCCGCGTTGATGCAGACAGCAAGGCGCTGGTCATGTAAGAATCACCCCAAAGGCATCGATCGCCCAGTTTACTGACAGGAAACAGTGGTCTTGGAATTGGCACAACACCCTCTGCACTGATCAAACATGGCATTGAAACTACCATCGTCGAAATCGATCCTGTTGTGCACAAGTTTGCCACTCAGTATTTCAACCTTCCGCCAAACCACATCCCCGTTATTGAAGACGCCGTAAAATTCGTCAAGAAGGCAGAGTCCTCCTCGAATATACCCCAGTATGACTTCATCGTCCATGATGTTTTCACTGGAGGCGCCGAGCCCGCCGAACTCTTCACATACGAGTTTTTGTCAGGCCTCCACTCGCTCCTCAAAGAGGATGGTGCCATTGCCATTGTAAGTCACACTAAAAAACAAGCCCCTATTTAACCATGCACTAACGAATGAAAACCAGAACTACGCCGGTGACTTGACGCTCTACCCGACCGGTCTCGTCGTACGCACCATCAAGACCGTCTTCCCATCTTGCCGCATCTTCCGCGAAGCACCCGGCGGAGATGACGAAGATACTGACTTCACCAACATGGTTCTGTTCTGCAAAAAGAGCTCCAACACACCAATTGAATTCCGTGATCCTGTCCCGGCAGACTTCCTGCGCAGCAAGTCTCGTGAAAGCTATCTTGTTCCCAAGCACGAAATTGACGCTAGCATATTTGCCCATTGGCCCAAGCGTGGCAGAGAGCTTTTGTGGGCGAAGGAAGTCGGAAGATTGTACAAGTACCAGGATCGTAGTGCGCTCAAGCACTGGGCTATTATGCGCAAGGTTTTGCCTGATGCCGTGTGGGAGAACTGGTGAGTGTTGAAAAGTGAGTAAAATTCGGAGATTGAAGATCACTCTTGCCCTGGTTTTCATACCGTCTACATGTATCAGATGATTTGTACGGTACACAATAATAGCAAAATACTACCTAGCATATAAAAAAAAACTTCCGTTCTATTATGAACATTTGAAGCATTTTGGGACTATGCTTAATTGAACGTAAATTAAACGTTATACGTACATTGAAAAGTCTTCCACACATTATGTATACGCTTATTACCTCGTTCGCATACACCTAAAAAGACGCCTAGAAAGAACACCCAATAACCAATGTATCCAAGTGTTCTCACATATAACGTCCCAGATATACGCCGCTTGAGCGGCTGACTATTCTTGTAGTTATAACTCCAATGGAGAGCATACCTACTTGTTATTTCCGTCTTTCATATTGCTGAGAAGACATTGAAAATAGCAAATCACAGACTTCATATTGGTATCATTATCTAACACCTGCCGAAAGGCGATGGAACCTCCACTGTTAGAGTAATAACAGAGCGGCTGTCTCCTCTTCACAGTCAAAAGTCCCAAGAGCTCTTTCATCTCCATATATCAAACCGCCCAGCTCATCGCTAGGAGCGAGTGTTCCGGTCTCTGTATTATGTACGCACAAAAAACTAAAATACAGTGAGAAAAGAATGAATCAAGCCGAGGGGCTTCCACGAGGACTGGAGCCAGGTTTCTTGACAAGACCAGCGAAGAAGTTCGCCAGGGCTTGGTTGTGCGCTTTCTCATCGTTGCCACCGGTTCCTGCATATGGGCTCTCTTTCTTTAGGGTTCGACTAGCCTCGCGGTCCTGGGGTAATATTTAGCTATGTCCTATCTTGGGGAGGATGATGACGCCGCGCGGGTCGGTTGCTTACCCGAAGCTTTTTCAACATATCATCGGCGTCCACTTGGATTCCGCCCATGTTGAACTGTACAGGGCCGATGTGGTCGTTGACTTTGCCTTCGTCGGCCATGGGAGACATCTCCAGTTGTGGGGCTGGCTGGTTTGAATTCTCTTTTTCATCCTTGGCTTTGAGATCTTCCAATTTTTCCACTTGGGTTGCGAAGAAATCTTGGAGGTCGGTGGTCTCAACTTCGATCTTGGTCGTGTTGCCATGGGGGTTGGCTGTGCCTTGTTTGGGGTCATTGATCGTCTGTTCATACATAGTCACCGCACTTGTGCCTTCTTCTGCTAGGCCGTTCTCGCTCTGCTGATTGTCGTTTGTGGATTTATAGATTGACTCCGGGGGGTCCTGGATCTCGATTGACCACGCTGTCGACACTCCCTCCATGTCAAATCCTTCCCGAATAATTCGAATCTTACCCCACGAGTCCCAGTTGGCTGGCACTAGGATCTTGTCTCGATCGATCACATTATGTTTTAATGATTCTCTTTTCAAAAGAGAGTGTATGCCCAGAGAAGAATGAATCAGGCTCTGAAGAGAGTTTGCGAGGAATGGGGTAGTATAGATGAGCGATGCGCCGTCTGTCTAGGGGTTAGAAAAGAGCCTAAAATGGCCAAACACGGGGTAGGAAAGTCCTCACGCTTCAGGAGAATTGTTCTGAGGAACTGGAGAACGAAATCGAACTGCTCTTCATGCCATCCGTGGTCTTTCTCTAACTTCTCGATCTTATCTGCCTGAGAACATTGAGGAGTCAAGTCAGCAAGAGCTTATCAGCAATTGATTTTTGGATAAGAGTTTGCATACCCCTTGGCAGACAACACACATTGGGATTCCGAGGCCCTCATCCCATTCACCAGGTCCTAGAGGTATTGTGACCGGACCGCTCGAGTTTGATATGCCTCCTGCAGCCGCAGAACTGGAGTCCATTCCCCTTTTGCGATCGCGCCACTCCGTCATGGTCTCTTCCATAACGAATTTGGTTTCATCGTCAAGCGAAACGAGCACAGAACGTAGCAAGCGGGTCCATTCTCTTAGCCTTCGAACCCATGTCCATGGGTCTGACCAGTCCATCAAAATGACAACTAGCGTTTCCGGGACGGATTTGGGGGTCAGGAGTGGTTTAAGGAGAGGTCCGAATGAGGGAGAAGGCTCGGACAAGAGGTAGGCCGAGACACGGGCCAGAGTATCTGCGCGAGAAGAGCGTTAGCATAGCCAAGGCTAGTAAAAGAATAGATTTTCCATATACCTTCTTTATCAGCATCGAGAACATCTCGATACGTGTATCCAAGAGCAAACTGATTGGCGATTGGTGGTGTTTTCCCTTTACCTTTTCGCTTGTCATTTACTAAGCTAGGGTCCGCAGATGTGTCCGCGGAAAATGTATCTAGAAATTCCCTTTGGCTGTCCGGCGTGCCGCCTATTATTGAGCTATTAGCAACATGTCCAAGAATTGAAAGACGGGACCAGAGATGAAGATGAGCAGGACTGGAATGCTCAAAGGAAATCGGTACTAACCTAGTACTAACAAGTTTTTCTCAGGCAAGCGCTTGCCGTTGGCAACAGTATCTAATAGGGAGGACCAAATGTTCTTTTTGGAGCCATCTTTGCTAGTTGGCCGACTGCTCGTTCCGGCCGTCTTTGAACCGGGATTCGGACTGGAAGACATCGTGTCTAGTTCCACCATGCCTCAAAGGGCATTCACCCTTCCAGATGCCTATCTCTTCTGTAACACAGTGGAAATATTGTGCGCGCGGAAATGTTGAGTGCAGGCGGAGGGAGAACGGCGAGGTAGCGTCGCGGGTCAGGGGAATCCCGAGGGAGATCTGGGGATAAATTTAGGCCCAGATGAGAACAACTCTAAACGTGAAAAGCTTTTCGATTGCAAGTCACAAAAAAAAAAAAGAGCAGAGCCTTTTTGTTCCTGGCACATCGTCGAGCAGGGGGCTAGTTTGCATAAAGGTGCGTAAACATTGATTATTACGGTTCCGCGGGTCCCCACATTTCTTTCTCTCCAACTTCTCCCAACCTTGAACCACAACCTTGAACCACAGATTTCCGCCCATGAATTCTATTCGCCAAGTTCAGGCGCTCAATAAGCGCGAGCTTGAGCATGCGATGTAAGTTGGACTCATGTGAAGCTCCAGCTCTTTTTCCGCTGACACTCTTACCTTCCTATAGACCCCCAGAGGCATCATGGCATGCAGACTACCGCGATACAGCTTATATCTACATCGGAGGGCTTCCATTTGATCTATCCGAAGGTGACATTATAGCGATTTTCTCACAGTATGGAGAACCGGTGCACGTCAATCTAGTCCGCGACAAGGAAACAGGCAAGAGCAAGGGATTTGCCTTTCTGAAATACGAGGACCAGCGCAGCACAGATCTTGCTGTGGATAACCTCGGTGGTGCAAGTGTCATGGGCCGTTTGCTTCGAGTGGATCATGCGCGTTACAAGCGGAAGGATGACGAGGAAGAGCAAGACAATGTCGCCAAATTGATGGGAGATCCGGCTATCAGCGAGAACAAGGGCAAGGAGGACGACCGGAGAACGATCACCAAAATAGAAGAGAAGCGACCGGTGTTGAAAGAGGAGAAGGAGCTGGAAGAATTGATTCGGAACCACGACGAGGAAGACCCGATGAAGGAATTCCTTATCGAGGAGAAGAAAGAAGAAGTCGCTGCTGCTATCCAGTTGTGGAACAGCACCAAGAAGTCGTCTCGGCGACGTGACGACAGCCGAGAACGATCAAGCCGGCACCACCGCCGACACCGCTCTCGTTCTCCTCGTGAGCGGAGACATCGAGATGATCGTTCTCCAGATAGGGAAAAGCGATCTCGCTGCAGGTCATCTGAAAGAGCAAAACCTAGAAGGGACCGATCACCGAAGAGATCGCGGTCGCCTGAGTCCCGAAGATACCGAAGTGATCGGGATAGACATGATCGCCGCCATTGAAGGAATGTATGAGATATCGTCATAAAGTCTTCCAAGATTATCTACGGCGCTACACATGTTTCTTCCCGATATTCTCGCCTTCCAGGTCCAACCTGGCCAGATAAGAGTGTTCACCAGTCCAGAAAGCGATGCAATGGTTTGAGCTTGATACTGAAAATGAGCTGGGTGCTGCAGACGAAGGCGTTCGTTACTTGCTGTGCAATATACTACGCACCCTTGTCAACCACCAAGATATCTTTTCCAGCCATCTCGCAAACAATATCTCTTTCCCTCCTCGCCATCTCGAAGCACAAATTTCTCCCAGCGCCCCTCTTTCCCAGATCCGACTACCAACAGAGTCTGGTCATCGCACCAGCCTATGAGACCTTTTTGAGGCCGACCAAATGACGACCCGATTGGTGGCGCATGCGCCGAGCCCAGTTTGGCTTGCTCACCAATCTCAAAATGTGCGTTGGCAAACGAATAAACGTCCGAGAAGACACGAGGAAGCAGGGGAATCTTACCAAGGATTCCCCATTTGTGGCTAGAAGGCGCCTCCTCGGATGCTGGTGATGGTGACTGACTGCGACGGGTGACAGATTGCTGGTGGGGAATATCAAAGATGTGGAGAGTCGATTTGTCAGATGTTACTGCCAGTAAAGTATTTGACGGTGAAAAGGAAATTGAGAATATCACTGCGTGGTCAACACCGCGTCGCAATTCTGCTAGCTTCGTGCAATTCCCTGTAGCGAATATACGGACCAAAGTCCCCTGTATAGGCGTCAATAAATAACCCGCCCATAGATGGTTGCAGCTTAAGAGAACTTACGGACTCACTTGCAGTCGCCAGTAACTTCCCATTGGGACTCAGGGCCATAGCACGCAAGGGTGTGCTATGTGCTGGTATGATGCTGATGTTGCCGGTTTCCAGCTCTATAATTTGGACCTGGCCTGGAGATCGACCAGGGAAGGCCAGCACCTTGTGATCAAGACAGGCCAGCCCCAAAGGGTTGTCGGACGTCTCAAACACTGAGAGCTTCTGCGGAGGGTTGGAGAATGCAAAGACATGAACGCTATTCAATAAAACAGCGACAATTTTTGATTTGGAGAGACGGACACCGAGGACGGAGGTACGGAATTCAAGTGTGATGGCCGCTTTCTGTTTGGCATCGTCCCATATAACCAACTAAGGGCGTATGTCAGCTTATAGGTTACTAAATTGTGCTGTGGTTGATTGCTTACCTTGTTCTGCGGAAACTTGGGGTTCTTTCCACCCCCAACAATAGCCAAGTAGTTCGACTGGCCAAGCATTTCCGCTACTCCGATGCCTGCGTTGAAATCTTAAATGAGAACAAGGAGTTAGGGTAACTTCTTTCATATTTAGTATATTCTCGTTGAGTACCAGTCGCTTACCTCTCAAAACCTTGAGCTCGCAAGGGTTGGAGTTATATACTATTTGGGTCATTTATCAGTCAAGGCTCCATAGTTCATATAAGAGCCAGCTTCTTCCAAGAGCCTTCAGCCGACTCAGGAGTTTCTTACCACAAAATCCCGTATCCAGACCCACTGAAAAGCAACTGTTATCATGATTAAATGTTGCTGAGAGTGAATATGGCCCTTTGGACTCATCGATAGATTGGCGGGTATTCATCGCTGTATGTCAAAGAAGCATGGTTTGAAAGAATTTGTTGATCAAATAGATAGATGTGGGTAGAAACTGTGTAGCAAAATCACCAAACCCTAATAAATAGTTGATCTTAATTATCTTTCCAGGTTTAAATGCTTCAAATGCTTCACAGGATGTCAGGGATCATCCCCGAGCTTCTTAATCGATAAGAGCAATGCGGGCAAGATCCACATTGACACCTCAGGCTTGTTATTATGTAACCGTACGGTTGCCAACAACGACCCACTTTGACCAACCCCTGAGTTGTGCTGTTTGATGTTTGTTGATGAAGATGGAACCAATATTGTGCATGGAAATAGGGGGGATATCTAGTATATGATTGACAATTTACTGTATTTAATTTCTTTTTTTGACATCCACTTATCAATTGTGACTGATCAAGGGCTTTGTAGAAGTAAAAAGTAGCTGGAGAAGAAGAGCTGTCCCGTGATTGGCCACCTATTTGGGAAAGGGGGAAACACGAACTGTCTTTCCTCCCCCCCTACTCTCTCCAGACTCTCAGGAGAGCCAAGTTTCACACCTTTCTTCCTCGTTATTAATTCCTTGCTTTGGACTTCCTTCTCCGGATTACACTTTAATCTTCCTTTAGCTCACAATGTCGTCGGCCCTCAACGCGGTATGTACATTCCCCTTTTATTGGGAGCTTCCCGTCTTCTTGAAAGTTTCCCAAGCTAATTGCATGCCCGTACTCATTCCGGGTAGATGAAGATTCGTCGCAAGAAGAATGTCAAGAAGGGAATCCAGTTCTGTTTGATGGTCTGTGGCGCCAGTGGAACAGGTATGATTAAAACGAAGCATTCGAATTCCAACGACTAACAGGATCTCCTTCCTGCGACAGGCCGCACCACTTTTGTCAACACTCTTTGCGGCAAGCAGGTTCTAGAAGGCAAGGATGCCGATGATGCTGCCAATGCCCACCTTGAGGAGGGTGTCCGCATCAAGCCCGTGACTGTCGGTCAGTGGAAACCGTCCCCGCGCGGCGCGGTTATATCAAGCTATCAATACTGACACTGGGTTGACAGAGCTCGAGTTGGACGAGGAAGGAACCCGCATTTCCCTGACCATCGTCGATACCCCCGGATTTGGTGACCAGATTGACAACGAGGCCAGGCACGTACACCCAGATACCCGACAGAGGTTCATGGACTGACTTTTCGGATAGCTTCGGCGAGATTGTCGGTTACCTTGAGCGCCAATACGATGACATTCTTGCAGAGGAGTCACGAATTAAGCGTAACCCTCGATTCAGGGATAACCGCGTGCACGTGCTGCTCTACTTCATCACACCCACCGGCCACGGTCTGCGTGAACTCGATATCGAATTGATGAAGCGCCTCTCCCCCCGTGTTAATGTAATTCCCGTCATTGGAAAGGCCGACTCGCTCACCCCCGCCGAATTGGCCGAGTCCAAGAAGCTGATCATGGAGGACATTGAACACTACCGCATTCCCGTCTACAACTTCCCCTACGATATCGAGGAAGATGATGAGGACACTGTGGAGGAGAACGCCGAACTCCGTGGAATGATGCCCTTTGCTATTGTCGGCTCGGAAGACTTCGTTGAGATTGACAACCGGAAAGTGCGCGCGCGTCAGTACCCGTGGGGAGTTGTCGAGGTTGAGAACCCTCGTCACTCGGACTTCCTGGCTATCCGTAGCGCTCTGCTCCACAGCCACTTGGCTGATTTGAAGGAGATCACTCACGACTTCCTCTATGAGAACTACCGTACCGAGAAGCTCAGCAAGAGCGTCGATGGTGGCTCTGGGTACGTTTCTCTTGATACTAGAAATTTCTATGATCAATTTGCTAACACATGGATGATCAGTGGCTATGATTCTGCTATGAACCCCGAGGATCTTGCCAACCAGTCTGTCCGCCTCAAGGAGGAGCAGCTCCGCCGCGAGGAGGAGAAACTGCGTGAAATTGAGATCAAGGTACAACGTGAGATTGCCGAGAAGCGACAGGAGCTGTTGGCTCGCGAGAGCCAGCTCCGAGAGATTGAGGCTCGCATGCAGCGCGAGCAGCAAAGCCAGGGCAATATCAGCGAAGCAGCCAACGGAGAGGCCTAGATATACCCTGTCGACGATGCAGCTCATCCAGCGGGGCGCCAGTTCGCAATGTGATACCGTTTGTGCCAATATGGACTTTTATGGCACCAACAAGTTGGCTTTTGTTTATGGGATAATATTGACTGTTTATTCACGTTAATAGCTTTTTTCTTCTTTTCTTACCTTTGCGGGGATGGGCCACCTCAACATAGATCACGACACTCCGCAATGGTTCTCATTTCCAATGGGAGATTGACCTAGGTCGAGTTTGGTGTTGCTTTCACCAGTTTCTGGCCCTAGCCTCGGTATATCTCGCTCCTGACCAACCTGGTGGCTGCCTCCTTTTCAGCACCTGTTTTCCGTCGCGCCCAGGTCATACTTTTTTTTTTCTTTTCGTCACATCCCAGCTGCCACCTGACATGTTGCTGCATCATTTCTATTTCCTCTTCCCTGCTTCCTCTCCTGTTCTTGTCCAAAGTCCGCAGCGCAGCAATATTCCCTCTTCTCTTGTTTTTTTGCGTTCATGGCTCCTGTCCTGTTGATTCTCTATCCTTTCTCCTCGCCTGTCTTCCTACCCCCCGATAGTAATTGAGGAAGAAAAAGTACCTGACTAGCTCGCTTGCTTTCGTCATTTTTTTTGGTCCGCTACTGTAGTTGGTTACTATGTACTATCTGTAGCAACATGCTTTGGTTTGTGGGACTACAGCTAAGTTCTCGAAGTATCTGTACGACTTGAACCTATGATGTTAAGTTTACTTAACTTTTCTGTCTAGCGGAGAGGTCCAGTCTTAGGGCTTCACCAGCAAGGCGATTAGTAAGTTCTGCCTAATTTCACAATTGTCTACGCATTTATTGGTCTAAAAAGAATTAGAGATGTACAGGGTATATGTAACTATACTATGAATTTCTCGCTGAACATGGACTACATAATCATCGACCTTCGAACAACTAACATGGAGAGATATACTATTGAGGTTCAATATCTCGTTTCTGCACGCTTTTTATTTTCATTCTCGCCAACCTCATGAGAAAATACGAGAATACTATGAATGAAGACCGAATGTCCATAATGGATTTAACCACATTAACGAACTAAGCTTAGGTCTACTGCAATTCTTCTCATTTGGAATGCAATAGTCCCATTCACATGAATGAAATTGCTAAGTATAACAGACAAAAATGCCTTGAACTCAAAACGATACAAGTAGAAGACATCTCCAGAATATGGCCATGTGGACGGGAAACAGAGCCGTCAGGAGATAGAAAGGGGTAAAGAAGGGTAAAAAATTTTAAAAGAAGAAGGAGGAGAAA